ATTTTGTGATAGATTGGGGCCTAGTTAAACAGTAGAAAGTCAATTTTTGGAATATTAAGTTATAGCGCATTGTAAAAATTTACATTTTTTTATCTCTATAATTTTGAACGGTAGAAATGGTCAATAGGCCCTATTTTTAACAAACCTTTTTGGCCACAAAATTATTACAGCTTTCACAAATTTATCGACTTATAAGAAAGAAAGGGTCATAAAAACTATTTGTGTTTTTCAAAGGCTGCCAAATCGTTGTGGTTTGACGTACGAGTCAATGGAAGTTGTGTAAAATTTCGCTTTACCGGAAGTGGATTTTGAGCTCTGAACGGGCAAAATGCGTTTTCTCGAATTTTAACAAAAGAACACGTTATTTGGCAAAACTAACTACAGCATGTTTCATTACTCATTAAGGGTTATCGATGAGCCAAATATGAGCGAAATCAAATTTTGAACTTGTGCCGACCGTGGGTCGATATTTACGGAAAGCCGCTCTTAAATACTAAAATACGTTCAACAATGCTATGTTTAAGTGGTTTTGAACTATATTCTCGTTGGGTGCCCCTGACTATCCTTACACGATGATCCTTATACCCGCTTTAAAAAATGCATAGTCGTTTTGTTGTCTTGTTTTGTTGTCTTGATTGTTTGTGTTCCAGTGAAGGCAATTGGCAAAACTGGTTACAACTTTCAGCCTCCACATCCGTACAATATCTTATTAGCTGGACATTTTTATAGTGGTCTCGAAGCTTGCAACACCAAGAAATGAAAGGTTAGTTTATGGTCAGATGTTCTGTAGGCTTTTGTTGGTCCATCACGTAAGAGGGGGCTTTGTTCATGTTCAGTGACAGTGACAAATAAAAGAACTTGAAGGGGCGGCGACTCTATTCCCTCTCAGATTTAACGGTAATCAAAATATCGTTAGGCCATATATTCACGATGAATAATATTACTCCGGCGTGGTCTTTGATCAATCATAGTATCATAGGAGACATTGAAACGGTCACAGAGGCATGTTTTTTTCTATTTGTGACCATGTAATTAAGTTCCAGTAAAAGCACCATTTCTTTCATTGTTGCAGTTAATTTCTGCTTTAGTACAGGCAACGTTACGGCTGAACGTACCCCTTGCCGCTTGTTTATTATATTAAAACCGAAGTTTCTATCGTTTCTATTTGTCTCGAACTTGTTTAACCAAACGAGGCAAAGCGTAGAAGCCGTAGAAATGATTGTTTTTGCCCCAGCGCTAGCTAGCGCTATTGGACCTATTGGAAGACTATTCCAGACCACCTCCCCAGTACAAGATAAACCACTCATTAATCCTTACACTTTCAGTGTTAACGATATCATGCAACAGTTGCCGGTTTGATTATTTTTAATAACTGCATATTATGCAATTTATTTACTGGGCATTAATTCTGCTGATAAGAATATATTTCTTTGAATTGTAGCTCAGGCAATTAAGAATCGAGGGACTTTTTCGGTTTCGTGGAAAATGTTGAATCATGCAGCAAACATTAAGATCTCGGAGATCTCAGTCGTACTACGAAGGCCTTGTAAAATTGAATCGATTTCTGTAATAATCAAACCGGCAATTTTTCGCGTGATATTGGGAAAACGGTATAACGACTGATAAGTTGTCTGTCATGAACTTGGGAAAAAATGATACTATACTTTGCCTTTTTGTACACGTCGTCATTTCGCGTTGAAAACGGAACGATAATGCATCTATAGGGGATAGCTTTGTAGGTCTTTGTATGAAGACTGTTAGAAGGTACAAGGAGTAATTATAATAGAATATACATTGACGTAAATCAATTGCTTTATTCAAAAAGTACAATTTATAGAAGACTGTCAAGACTCTCCTTCAGGCCGTTGCGTGACTGAAGAACCGACGGAAAAGCCCCATCACTGGCGAATAAGACAGTCGGAATAATTACTGAAAAATCTACAAAATAGCGGGAAAAACCACTCAACGGTAAATAATATGGGTGAGCGCGACCAGAAGCTTTATAAACACACTCGTCGACAAAAAATTCCTGTAAGGTTCTTAGTTAACCTCCCATACAGACGTCTCCTATAGTCGGTGTCAGCAGCTTCTGGTGTCAGTATATGAAATTGAAAGCGGAAGTAGTCACCAAAGGTTGCCATACCACACGAACAATTCGTTATCCAAAGCATACATACTTAATGTGAAACTCTCCTGATTTATGCGTTTATTTCAGCAAAGGCATGCTGCAATGTACGTGAGCAAACCGCATTAAGTAGATGTGCTCAGTTGCCTGCAAGCAGACTAATAGCATCCTTCAATATTGATTCTTTAAGTTTTTCAAAAGAAAAAACTGTTTCGATCTAAGCTGCTGAAGGGCAAGACGGAGATTGTGTGTGGACGGTGATGGACATATCAGCCGTTCCTTTTATATTTTTTCAGAATATCGAGTCCATAGAATATTCACAATAATTAATAGCGGATCTGTCCTAAATCTTACGACACCTCAAAGGTCATGATATTTGACATCAGTAACATACAATGCGTGCGTGGTGTTTCATATGTTTCTCTCTTCTAAATTGTAGTAACCGTTTTACTAAATGAATATTTGCTTAAAATTTCGCGATGAATCTCTCCTCATTGGTCTTCTGGATTTCACTAAGTAAGAGAAACAAACAAACAAAATTAATCAGAAAAGAAAGCTTACTAGGATAAGTAAAAGCAGTTCTGAAAATTAGATTCGTCCAAGATTCTTCCCTTTCCTCCCTATTTTTTTCCCCAAACAGAGAGCCTGTTCTCAGGCTATCTACGATGTTGCCCCTCAGCCACACGCGTGGTCACTTTCCGGCTCTCGTGCGTTTCGCGCGTGGGACTAAGATAAAAAAGAGGCTGCACATGGTCTATGAATAAGACGAAAGACAGGTATTGCAGGGCTGGGCCGCTTTTGATACCATCCAACGGCTGATAACGCTACCCTGCCTAAATTAAGTTGACTTTGACTTTGACCTTATTGTAGCAGTGTTTTGCAATTTGAAAATACCTTTCCTTAGCACCGCCATTTTCTATTGGCCAGTTGTATAATGGACTTGGACTACAAGTACAAGAATCGAGACCATTTTGATCCCTCAGTGCCATGATTGGTTACCAATCTTTTTGATTCAGTCAGTTAAGCGATTATTCTCAACCTCGTTCCCAGGGTCGAGTAGGAGAGGAGCTTGGGAACAAGTTTGAATCATTTTTAGGTATTAGGCATTTTATTTCAAGGCAATTTTCTTTCCCTTTTTTGGAAACAGGAGCTAATGTGCGGTTACGAAATCTACAAGGTAACATAGAAACGTGTTTATACGTCTTAGTTTAGAAGTCGTATAACAAGTTTGCGTTATGTATGCGTTATCGACCAAACATGTTCAGTCAAGATGGCTGAATATTGGCCAAGTTCTTTTTTGCGTATTAACCGAGACAAAGTCTAGGCTCGATTACCAGTAGCCTGCGTAGCATGGCACGAGCGGCGAAGCCGCGAGAAAAATAAGTTGCTCCCGCCCCAATCTCCTCGCGGTTTTTCTGCCCGCGCCCGCCTTTATTACTTAGCAACCAAAACCGGCATGCTAAGCAGGCTAGATTACCAGCCGCTGTCCAGAAAATGAGCCCGCCCTCCTCTCTCTAACAGACGGCGCGTCTCTTCTCGGCGAGGCCCGAGAGAGCGGCGGAAATCGAGCATAGACGAAATCAGCCCAAAAGAGAACTTTTATTTACGGGACGAACGCGGGAAATCCTGAGTATCTTGCCCTTTTGGGTAGCCAATCAGAATGAAGGATTCGCTTCATTTTGCTCGCTCGCGGATTCAGCTATATAATAAGGGTTCTTATTGACCTTATTACCTGTTTGCTTACGTTTGTTCATTATCTTACAGGGCTGACAGCCTTTGATTTTATTTCTGATTTTGAGGAGTGGCAGTTGAACGCGGTTACTTTAAGAAACGCCTTCTTCCTTAAATATGTCCTCAAATCGCATATATTTTCTCTCTTTTTTTTCCTTTTCCTTCCTTGATTTGTTCTTCCGCGTGACAATTGTACTGGAGTTGGACTGTCTATTCTTTTCATTTCTCGCTTTATTTCGTTCAAAACACACACGCTTGAAAAGTAAAAGCAAACAAAATAAGAATTTTATTTTAATTCCTTTGTAAACTAGATGTGAAGTTCTCTCGTAATGATGTCTCAGGATAAACATGCTGTGACAAATATTTTTATATAAACAAAATTAAGAGAACATTAAAATAAAAAAATTATACAACCGCAAGGTGCGTCTGTTCGAAATATTTTAACCAAAGGGCTCCTTTACACACCTGAATGACAAATTTTCCTAATTTTCCAACTCTTTCATGATTTACCTGAAGCCTGAACAAGGTGCCCCTTTCCAGCGAAGCCTCCCTGTAGAGGCTATTATAGGGAGTATTTTCTTTAAGGAGGGGATAGGGATACTAACGTCGTATAGGAGCCCATTCCTGCGTCTTCAGTATCCTCCCGTTAGCAATTCCCTTTCGCCAGAAGCGTGAAACACACATATTTTGATTCCACGGCGTCAGCGTCCCAACTGATTTGTTTGTTTTAGGTTGGCTTTCCCTCGAAACCTATGGCCTGTCTGGACCTCTGAAAAGCAATTAGAGAGAGGTGGGCGGGGGGGTGATAGAAGTGGGGAGTTAGTCAGTAAATTCTCCTTTTTTTCCCGCTGGAAGCGCTCAGCTCGTTCTTCCCTGATTGTGGCAAGAGTTCCCCTCCAATGGAGAAGACAACTTGATTCACGAAACCAGAGATTTTTCTTCTGTACGTCCCCCGCCTCTGTATCCAGGAAATCATTGTTGAGCCGTCAATTGCCTTGATCAGCGTTCGTCATACACATGCGCGTTAGACAAGAGCAGCCATTTTGAGACCAGCTCGAATCTAAAGCGCAACCGGGGCAGGTAAACACACATTTTTAAGTATTAAATAAGGCCGAAAACAATTGAAGAAGTTCTCTTTTTTCCTGAAGACGCTATTAAATGTTTCCTGGTGCGTCATCGACGGGCTTTTGTAAGTATTATCAAACTTTATAAATTACTAAGCTTATACAGTTCAGCTGTTTTTTTTGTTTTCTTCATTCTCTTCTTATATATGGGAATTTTGTTTTTAATCAAGCTTACAAGTTAAGCTTAATGTTAGCCAGCCAGAAGAACCTTTCAACAGGTCTGATGTATTCTTGCTCTAGATAATTTACCGGAATATGTATTTTTTTCCCTCGTTATAAACTTTAACTCATCATAATCTCTTTTAAGTTAAGCTCATGTCCATCTACCCAGCTTGCAATGTTATTAGCTGACAATCTGCACACTTTACAGCTGTGCAGAGTATATCCTTTGCTCTCCCAGTGAACGAGTAAAAACAACGTACAAGGTCTTTCAAATTTCCTGTAATATGTTTTTATATTATTTTTATTTTAAAGCACTGATCTGAACTATTTTATCATTAATATGATTTCAATCTCAGATCATGCACCGCTCAGCAAAGGCCTTCTTGTATTAACTGGTACTGCCTCTTTATTCAACATCCTCTTATCATCATCAACAAGACACTTCTTCCCTAACACTCAATGGATTCAGGTTGTCAGGAACTCAAAGGTAATGCAAACACTTTGTTAGAATCCATCAGTTTTACCACCACAGGTGTGCAGAGTGCAAAGAAATTCAGTTTTACAGCTTGCCATTGGGGCAAGCTGTAGCTAGTATCTACTAGCCCAAAAGTCATTTCAACTAGCCCCAAAAACGTTTTGATGAGAGGGAATAAAAAATGCCCTCTATTTGAGTGTCAATGTATTTAGCACGAAAGTACCAATTGGCGACACTATATTTACATCTCCCACTGGAGACGGGACTGCCATTTTATGTTGTCATCTGAGCCACGCAAAGGTCTGGCCATTTGCAGGACAAAGGAAGTAACTTCGTTACTTTAGGATTGATTACACAGTTCTTCTGTTATTTGAATTCCTCAAAAAAATTCATTGGCCTGATAGCAAAATCCACCAACCCCAGGCTATATTGGACACTATTTGCATTGCATGTAGGGATAGGTGTTCAACCCTTAAAATCCGAAGAGTGATCAACATCAACTTTCTCTTAACAACAGAATAACTTTCATAATCAAAGGAAAACGTTATGACAATTATAAAAATTATCATCATTGAGAAAATTCTTTGATCCTTCAACAGATTCTCATAACTAATCCTAAATTCGGGCACTAACGTAACTGGATAGGCACTAGTCTGCTATATGGAAGGCCCCAGCCAGACAAGCACTCAAGGTCTTAGAATAACTGAGGAGAAAGTGCTGTCTTCGCAAAGACATGTGCAAACCATTCGACTTTCTAGTCTTCTTGGATGAGGACAATAAATCGTAGGCTGAGTGTCACAACCCTTCAACATTATAAATTCTGTGGGACAGTAAAGAACCCAGACACTGTTCTTAAAGAGAAGGGGAAGTGGCCCGAGTGTGATGGTCTATCTCTCATGGGGGACTGTTACAGGCCTACACTAATTGGTGCCACGCAACGCATCATTGGGGTGACATTGCCAAGAATTAGCAAACCCTAAATAAATAGATAAATGAGTGAATGACAAAATAAGTCTGGAGAATTTGTATGTGGATAGAAGGGCTTATGGGGTAAATATGCTGGGTACATATTCCCTGTTGTAATTATAATTATTGTGCAGTCTTAAAATGATTAAAAACCCAACCAATAGACCTTTGTCACAGGGTGGCCATTTTGTCTCAGGAGATTTAAAAAGCTTTGTTTATGCACGGCTAGCCTCGTTCTCTCTACGTGGCTAGTAGTGCATAAACAAAGCTTTTTAAATCTCTTGAGACAAAATGGCCGCCCCATGACAAAGGTCTATGATGAAGTAGCCTTTTCATAATATGAGAAGTGTCAAGGAACTTTTATGACTTTGGGTGAAATCCTATGGTATAACTGTTCATTCAGGTGAATCCTCTCAAAAAGCTTTTTTTGTCCAGTTAAACATTTACTTGAATATTAATGTTTACTTTAGTGTACATGTACACAGAAATTTATGCTAATTATGCATATATTGTTTTCATTTATTCAACAGTTCTGGCAAGTTTTATCATCCAGTTTTTATTACTCAAGCACTAGAAACTTGATATGCGGTTCATTTCTTCTTTATACTTTCCGGATATTTGAGCGAAGATTTGGATCTAGAAAATATGCAGTAAGTAATTCAATGAAATTTTCCATTTTGCAGTAGTGGGAGCTTCCTTCTTATGAAACCTCAAACAGTGAAATAACTTTAAAAATTCACTTTGTTTTCTCTGTTTTTTCCTAGTCTTATATCTTTGGTACCACCGTTATAGCCATTGGGCTCCAGCTGACAACAATTGCTGCTCTTAAACACTTTGGACATGAAGTGGGTCTTCCTCCTCCAGGACTGTATCTTTTGAATCTTGATAAATTATAATTTTAAAAGAAATAACGGTCAGTGAAATTAAATTAGTCCCTGATTTAAATGGATAAAATGAAGGGCAGATTGCAATGGATTAAGTTGAGAAACCTTTAATTTTTATTATAACGAAGGCCTAAGGGACTGGCAAAATTTGTTTGGTATACAGAGGGAATTCATTATATCGAGGTTATTGTTCATATATTGTTACTATTTCTGGGGCTGAGTACATTGTTCGTTATACCGGGGACTTTTTTATTATAGAGGTTTGTTTTATTGAGGTTCCACTGTACTTGACTTCATTTATCAAAAATAATAAGTATTTCATTGTTTTGTCACTATAAAGGTGATAAACTCCCTAATTGTCTGCTTACTTGGATTTCGAAAGCCTCTAAAAATAGTTATACAGTTAACCAGTGAAGGATTGAGTTTCCTTACATTCATCTTTTATGAAAAGGTTCGGGATGGTCTATGCAACTCTTGTGCAATATTTCTGTGATATTCCAGCATCAGATGCAGTGACATTTCTTGGCATGCCAATCTCTGGAAAAATACTTATTTATTCCATGGCACTACAGGTAATACAAACTGATTGTAAGGGGATTTTTCTCAAGATTCTTTCATGCAACAATATATTGATAAAAGTCAAAGCTCTCTTGCTGACAATCTCTTAACTCGTAGACAGCTCTACTTATGGCCTCTTTAAGAAGAACACTGTTTGAACTAACTCTACTTACAAGACGTTTACTAGTCGCTAGTTGTATGCTCTATCCTTCATCCTGGTGTTGGTTTATTAGAGGGTTTGACTTTAGCTCATAACTAGCATAGTTAGGCTAAATTCCCTTCGGTTTTGTTACATGGGAATTTTGTGCATGAAAAGTCCATTTTTTTCCCAGGGGAGTAATTTTGTTCCTTTTTTATTGTTGTTGTACAAGGTTATATTATGCCAGCCAAATCTGCAATATAATATCCTCAAAAACTCCAATCCAAGTAGTGTAGTCTGGCCCCTTGTTCATAGGCTGCAGAAAAATAAGTTTTGACAGTTCTCAAATACCTTTCTTTTTCCCTTTTTATCTAATAGATGTTGTTAACAAATAAAGAATCACTTTTAGCTGGTATTTGTGGAATGGTGAGTGAATTAAGTTAATTTTAAAACTAACATAGGCAAAGCCTGGGACACTCTTATGCATTCCAACTGGTGATTAGATTTAAAACACTTCTCTCAGTTTTTCCTAAAGAATTGATATCTTTAGTTCCTCACAAAAATCTGTGAAATATAGAGTGCAATAAAGGGGTAGACAACCCTTGCTTTTTTTTTAACAGTTAATGTGGTTTCTTTCTCATAAAAAGGGTATGACAATTCTAAAAATTATCACCAAAGAGAAAATTCTTTGATCCTTTATCAAATTCTTATAGCTAATCCTAAGCTGCCGAGCAGGAGCCTGCTGGTTCAAACCCTAGACGGACCAACACTCAGGGTGTTTGAATAACTGAGGAGAAAGTGCTGCCTTTGTAAAGACATCTACAAACCATTAGACTTTCTAGTCTTCTTGGATATGTACGATAAACCCTAGACCCAGTCTCGCAAGCCTTGAACAAATAACCATTCTTAATGAGTAGGGGATGAAGTCCTCAGTGTGGTGGTCTATCTCTCTTAGGGGAAGGGACTAATAATTTAACTGGATACCTTCAAATCTTTCACTTCACAGAAAATGTCATTCTCTTAACCAGGCACAGGGTGTCCGCTGAAAATGGTGTATGCTTTTTAAAAAAGGGAAAATAAAAATAAGGCAAACCTGTAAGTTTTACTTTTTTTTAATTGTAGGTGGCAGGGATAATCTATAGGTTTAACTTGTTCCATGTTCAGCGATGGCTTAAGCTACCAGAATTTATGACAGGTGCTGTCTCTAGAACTTTTGGCAACTTGTTTGCCTCTCAAGGGCCTACTTCTCAGCCATACGCCATGGGTGCAACAATAGAAATCCAGCGTCAACAGCAGATGGAGCACTATGAACAACAGGCTCTGAGAGTGGCAAGGATGGGAAGTCTAAGAAACAGGGTATTGCTTAAGAAACTCCATATACTGCAAATAATATTTTTACAGTCAACCCCCGCTTTATGGACACCCACTTCAGGGCTCAAAATTGCGACTGATACGGTCGCCAATGCGACTAACATTTTATCCTTGGCGACTAAAAATTCTAGTTTAGTCGCCAAAGTGGCGACCAGATTCCTCTATGATTTAGATTTACGTTAAAAGAGTAAACCTGCTTTGTTTTCATCATAAAAAATGTGTCAAATCGGATAAACAGAACAGTGACCAGTTTACCTCCAAATTTATACTGACTTCTATCCACGATATTTTCAAATCTGATGGATCGTACCATACTATGCAGGGCTTCTGATAGGTCACGGAAAAAAAGTCCAATTTCGCGGGTTTTTTCGGGGCAAATTCGCCGAAAAATCAACCGATTTCGCAGGAATTTTCGGGGCAAACTCAGCTGAAAATCAATCGGTCAAAAAAGGCCGATTTTGTGGTTATTTCAGGGAAAACTTCGTTAGAGATTGATCGGTTTTGCGCTGACCAGACCAGTGTTTTTAATGTTTTTCTAACAGAGGTCATCATTTGCTCTTTCAACAACAATACGCTCCAGAACTGAACCAATGGCAAGGCCTTTAACATCATGGCTAGTGCCCAGTTTTTCGCAACATAATTTACGCCTGGTAGTTTCGGAGTTTCGGGACGTTGCTTGCACGTTTCAGTGACAAAGTTTCGAGATAAATTTACAAGTTTACGGCAAGTAAATAGCCGCAATAGCTGAGAAAAGTTTCAAATACGTTGTACAGACATGTATTTGAAAAGATTTGTACCGAATTTCGGGGTATTTTGTGTGTTTTTGTGAATTTCGCGGTTCTGTGACGGCGCGAAATATCAAAAGCCTTGACTATGAGTTGCGTCATTTACATTATACAAACTGGCGACTAAAAATTTGCAACTGGTAACTATATTTCTCCAGTTGGTCGCCAAAAGGCGACCTGAGGATTTTTCTAATTTCGAGCCCTGCACTTAACCCTTTAAGTGCCTATAGTGACCAAAAACAATTTTCTCCTAATAGTATCCATACATTGTCAAGAGATAAAGTTATGAGAATTAATAAAATGATCACCAAAGAGAAAATGCCATGATCTTTTATCAAATTCTCTAAACTAATTCTGAAGAAAATCTATGAAGATCAGTTTGGAGAATTTGTATGTTGATATTGGGGCTTAATGGGTTAATACACACACAGACACCTCATTATTACGGACAGTTTGCTTTGTTCCTGGGGAAAGAAAGCCCTTAAGTTTTCTCTAAATTGAACCTGCTTAATACAGACACCCCATTAATAGGGCTGAGAATATTGTTCATTATAGGCCTGTCAGTGTCCATATTAATGGGATTTGACTGTATTTATGTTATTTAATTTAAAAATATTTTAATTTCTAATCCTCTCATCCCAAGAGTTTTAAAAATATTTAAAAAATGTTGGTCTATCGTTATTTGAATTGCACAGAACATTTTTTTGAAATATTTTTATCCAGCTCTAACCACAACCTAGACATGATTTTGGAAGTTTTCACAGCCAACTCCATTGCCATGCTATTAATTTCAGTATTTGTCATTCTTTTACTCCTGCTGGTTACTATGTTTTTTTTTTAACTCATGAGAGCGAAAAGCTTGCCATAATAGGGGTAGGGCCAAATGAAACATAAGCAACAAGGCCCACATGTTCAGATCACCAGAGCTTATCCAAGTTTCTGTAGTATGAAGAACCAAGAGGTATTGATTGGTTCCTCCCCCTGGATGGCATGCTAGTCCATTGTAACCACACCTATTCATTCATACCCTTGGGTGAAAAGAGACACAGCAAGTATCTGGTCTGAAGAAATTGCAACCACAAGGCTGAACCAGGCACTATATATTCAAGTGTTAACTGCCCAGCCACCAGACGTCCTTCCATATCAGAAATTAAGCGAAATTCCTCAATAAAACAAGACATCTTTCCTGAGGTACTGTTAGGCTAAATTTCAAAACAAATGAGCAGGGGTCATGTAGACCATCTGAGGGGTCACCAAGAACAAGTGCAAATTTTTTTCGTTTTATTATTATTTATTTTAACTTAACACTTATATGTCATCTGTTGGGTCTGGAAGCCTTCTTTCTCGGGTCATTGACCAGAAACCTGCCTCTTATCAGGAAAACTGAGAAAGGGCGACAAACAACACAAAGATGAGTTGAAACTGAGACAGTGACAGAGAAAAAGTGCAAAATAATACAACATTTGTAAAATACCAATAGCAACATGGCTTCCTCCTCAATACAGTGGAACCTCTATATAACAAAGTCCTTGGCATAACGAACAATAATAATTATTTTCTTTACCCCAGTTATAGTAAAATATATGAAAAAGAACCTCCATATAACGAAACCTCGTTATAGCGAACAGGTTTTGCCAGTCCCTTGGCCCTTCATTATATCGAGGTTCCACTGTACACGTAAAAAAGGTTGTTTTTGAAATTCAGGCGAGGGACATACCTAACCCCCCCTAAGAGGACCTCATATTTATTCATGTTGTGCATTTTCCCTGAAGGGTCCAGCAGCGCGCATGGGACAGGGATATGCAGATGTCTTGGTTCCTCCTGCGGCTGGAGGATGGTTGTGGGGGGGAGCAGCCCCTAATCACCCGGCAGCACCACTGAATGATTGGCAGCTTGATCGGCACACAGACGAGGATAATGCAAACCTTCCTCAGCAGCCTGCAGGGGAAGTTTCTGAGGAGCAGGTATGGGAATGAAACCCCGTCGAGTGAGATTCACTGAGAATGACTGCAAGTGCTTACTGTTCTTGAGTTACTGTGATACAGGGGTCAATTCAGTAAAACTTCTACGACTCTAATTTACAAGACAATGTAGCTATTGTTTTCAGACTCTAAAACAATGACCACAATAAAATGGTAAATTAAACTTGTAAAAGTTTTCAATTGTTAAATTGACCCAGTTCACATTGATGAGCAATAATATTGCAACTCAGGCCGCAGCAGAAAAATGCTTACAATGGATGCAGCCAACTGTGCATTTAATCATTGCAATAACATGCTTGTGGTGTTGGTTCAAGAGTTCTATGCATTTGTCAGTCAGTCTCTGTGCTGTTGATTTCTCTTGGTTTGTCAGTGATAATGTGCTTTGTGATAACAGTCAACTGTCTCTTAACAGACAGCTCTATAGGACGGACACCTCTGTGAAATGGCCACCTAGATTTGGTCCCTCTCTTTATTTACTGACTCTATAAGATGGACACTTTGTGTCAATCCCAAAGGTGTCCATCTTATAGCTTCTGGGCAAGCTCTCCGGGGCACTCTGGCAGAGGGGCAAGAAATAGAAGGAGAGCTTGCAACTTTATCTCTGGAATTTTGAATTCTACCTCCAATTCCCCTGTGGCTCTGCATTGACTGAGCTGTCAGATTTCCGCCAATCAGCACGAAGCAGCAAAAAACTAATGTAGACAAACATTGAAAATCATGTGCCAAGCATAGTCATGTCATTACTAATTAATTTATAAATGTCATCTCCTCCAATCAGCATTTCACATCAACTTTTTCAATGCAGATATTCAAATTCTAGATATATAGTTGCAAGCTCTCCTTCCCTTTCCTGCCCCGCTGCCAGAGTGCACCAAAGAGCTTGCTCACAGGCTATCCATCTTCAAGAGTTGACTATACAGACAATCATTGTGACAGAACTGCATTGATAACACGTGGGTGTACTGTATTTCAGGTTCAAACACTTGTAGAGATGGGTTTCTCTAGACTAGCTGTACTCCATGCTCTTGCGACAAGCAATAATGATATCACCATGGCAACAAACATCTTACTCTCGCAGTCATAGACCCTGATGAATCACAATTTTGTGCTTGCAGTCTTCAGAGCAGTAGTTCCCTGAGCGTTGTAAATAAATAACCATTATATTTTCAACCTTGTAAAATTTAGATTTTTAGAGGCTTCAAAAATTTTGTGCATGTTATCTGTAGAAAAAAAGAATTTTATGTTATTTATGTATGATTTTTTTCAATGTAATTGTACTTATTGAGCAGCCAAACAAAAACTTATTGGCAGAGCTAAACTGTACATGTATAATAAGTTGTTAATAGTTTTGATGCTAGTAACTTGCAAAAAATTATTATCAGAAATTTGCGAGTTGTGTAAGGTCAACATGAGAAAACATTTGACATGACATCTTGCAGTTACCAAGAGGATGAAAATTAAAGATAAGCATTAAATGATAAAACTAAAATATATGCATGGTACTGTTGAACCCCTGTTAACATATAGCGGCCATCCTTTATTTAGCAGCCCGTTACCAGATCGGAGAGTGTCAATGTAATGAAACTAAATCAGCAAGTGGAAGACTCAAAACTGTAAGAGTCTGTCTGATTACCAAGAATAGGCCTTAAACTTTCTGTAAACACGAAAATAATATTCACTTTTGCAAAATTTTGTTAGCAGGAACTGAAAGAGCATATTAAAATAACCTGTAAATTATGAGCCCTGTATCTCAAAAGTAGCGATTTCAACAGCTGCTGAAAATTATAAGGATTTGTATGAGAATAATGACTCTTGCCACCCAGTTGCGCTTGAGTGGTTTTCCAAACAAACACTTGTAAATTTTGAAATCTTCATACTGTTGTGAAATATTAATTTCCTCACGCATTATGGAGCTCAGATCTCCTTTATAATTCATAACAGGCAATTTGAGCCCTTAAATGTGTTTTTGAGATAATTATAACTCTGATAATTTACATACCTAATTTTAATGTGCTTTTTTCCAAAGGTGAACTGTTTTTGTATTTACAGAAAGTTGGTCACATGGGCAACTAATGCAAAAGGCCTATCCTTGCCCTGCACTTACTCCTCGCCTTATTCCACACACACTGTTCTCTCAAAGACTGGACTCTCAGAGATGAACTGGCTCATAGAATTTCTGGGCAATTTTCAGAGCAATTTATTTAACCCCATTCTCATGCAGATCTAGGGCAATCCATGCTTGTTACTTCAAGAATGTTGAATCGAAGACAAAAATATTGGTCTGTTGTATGGCTGTAAAATGTATAAAAATAACTGACTGAAGCGGTTTTAAAACTCTCAGTTCATGGTAATGTGACGAGACTCAAGAGTGGAACAGAAGCCCTTCCCAACCCCCCCCCCACCTCCCAAGCATCTGAAAAATAATTAGTAGTTCTCTTGAAAATAGTAATAAAACTTACGAGATGAAAAAAATTTACTTTAATTTATTAAGGTGTAGATCCCTGTATGCCACAGGTTTACTATGTTTCAGGAGAGAAGGATATTAAATAAATACACTATTCAAGAGGTACAGCTTCAAAATTCAAGCTTTAGTAGCCAGCTAATAGAGATCATTTGCCCCAAGTTCCTGAATAACTGAAATATAACTTTGCATTTTCAGTTCCTAACCAGCATCAAAGAATATTAAAGAATAACTATTTACTACTACTAATCAGCTATGTAGTAAGAGTATCAACACTATTACTAAAATGTCACGGAATACGCACATAGAATTTTCTTCTGTTTGCTTATCAAACCAAGTCCTAAGTTCAATTATAAACACCTCAAAATTCTGAATAACATTATATTAGTAAATTTTACCCTCCCTCACCAAAAAAGCCTCCCAAATCTCTGAAGAATCCTTCATACTGGGCATTCTGAACATAAGCTCAATGAGCCAGATAGAACATACACCCCCGGATAACAAATGACGTCAATGAAGTCAACTTAAAGTGTGAGTTGAATGAACTTTACATGATTATAATACAGTCAAACCCCGCTTAACGGACACCCGCATAATACCGACACCTTAAAAATGGTGCACACAGTTTGCTTTGTCCCTGGGTAAAGAAAGCCCTTACATTTTCGCTAAATTCAATTAAAACGGACACCCTATTGATATGGGCACCTTGTATGGCCCCCTCAGTGTCCGTATTAACAGGATTTGACTGTATCTTTATTAAGATCACGTTTCTGTGAAAGCACACCAGCTACTAAATGAGAACACTGTTGAAAGTCTTTGTCATTCAGAGTTTTAATGAGATGAGAGCAGTTTTAAGGGTAAGGGGCGCAAAATTTTCATGCAAATTAATACTGTCGTATTTCAGGAACATTTAACAATATTTAACTGTTCCTTTCTAGCAGCAATCCAAGAGCTTTTGTAAAACTGAAGTTTACTCAATAATAACCTGGACCCCCAACCAAAATTGAGGCTTTGAGCACCAAGGCCCACCTCTTAAAAATTATTCAGAATTTTTCAGTAACTTCCCACCCAAAATTAAATCACAGAAGTCACAATACTACTGCTGACCCCAATTTACGCCCATATATTTTGGGGAGAATTCTATTCCAGTCTAAATTGTTAAATTTTAAAGTCTGCCTACTGATACACAATATAATTATTATATACAGAGAAGAGAAGCCTTTTAAAATGCCAGCATTCATTGATCAAAGGTCTGTAAAATAATTTGCTCTATAGCTGGAATTTTCTTCCCAACAGTGCATGCTCTCATTGGTTACTTCAAGGTTACATTGCATCTAACAGTGAAACTGTTTCCTGCCAAAATCTTTGAGGGGGCAACACTGCAAAATCTATGACGTCAGAGGGTTACAGTGCACTGTTCCCCACAAAAAAATGTTGACCGATGACTGCCAAATACAGCGAGGTTTAATGTATTTCCAGCTTCAAAATTTCCAGCTATATAACAAATCACCTGAAGACTGGCCCCTCAGGAAACAGTTAATTTTCTTTCCCTCAAATCTCAATGTTTCCCTCGGCAAACATTGAAATTCTCAGTAAACAAAATTAACTGTTTCCCTCCAATGTTTGCTCTCAAGCATCCAAAAGTTCACAAGATGCTGAAAATGACCTCAAAACGTACAGGTCTTGCAGTCAAATTCTTATCATGGTATTTTCACCTTTTAGACCTGTAGGATTGAGCACAGAAACAGTAACCTCCTTTATCCTGCAATAACGATAAACATTCTTCAAACCGCCATCTTGGATAAAACCGCTGTGAAAATAAGCTTTCCACTTGCACAGAGATAAATTGACAGAATTGGAGATGCTGATTTAATGAGCTTTATATTGCATCCTGGAAACACTCGAGGGCACACATCACAACCTGAAAAAATCTTGTCAAGCTTACCATGTCTTAGCAATGACTTTATCATCCTCTCCACACTGAATCTCACTGATATTTAAGCTACAACATGTAATTTAATACATGTACCTGGTACTTTTCTCAATATTATTCCTAGGAGCTCTCATCAAATGGTTTGATGAGATAAAACTTGCTACCTTCTTTATCTGTAAATATAGGAGCTCTTTTGTAATGTTCTATTAGCTCGTGGAATGACTTAAATCGCCGTGGTCCAATGCTAAATTCTCCATCAGCGAACGCCACTCTAAAATGCTTAATTTTGTCAGGAGCTTTCATGGACACAGAGTAGCCACCCTCCTAAAAGAGCAAAGAGAATAGAAAAGCCCATGAACTATTAGGTGCTAGTAATGGAACAGTCATACAGACCTACATTACACAATTATGTACCAATTCCCCTTCTCACTCACATTTACTGACTTTATCTGAGCAAATGTTGCTCGCACATGCAACAACTTGTAATAATAAATACAACATGCTAGTCCTACAAGTAACTCCACAAGCCATTGGTTATATAGGACAGCCTTTTCGTTCGGCACACCCTCCCAACCCACCTTACATAAAAGTGAAACGAAGCTATAGCTAAGGACCATGGATCCTGTCCCCTTTAAATTTGACCACAACAAAGATGAAGAAGACAATGCCTATAACCTCATTTTGCCATGCAATAATGGATCATCTAGAGAATCTTACCTGAGTTTCACTGACTCGTACTAAAAAGTCACCATCTACAGCAGATTTGTTCAATAACTTCTCGGCGTGTCCTCTTGTAATTTTACCCCAGAACCACTTTTCTTCGCAAAATGGCAGTCTTTGATGTTCTGGCAAAATAACTCTCTTTAACAGCTGGTTAGCAACCGCACCAACACTACCAGAACTTGCTGCTGGAATTTCACCATCATTATCCACAATAACAATATAATTACGAGGAACCAGACCTGTAGAGCCATCCTTTTTACGGGCCTTCCACCAATCTGGGTCATCTTCAGGTTTGTCGATAACTTCCAGGATTTCATCCTTTTTAAACTTGAGCTCCTCGGGATTTTCTGGGTCAAAATTGTACAAAGTCTTTACCTTATGAATGACCGGCTTTTTGGGTTTAGTGGATTTTGAGTTCTCTTCCTCTGACTGTACATAATTTGACGGAAACCACCCATTTCTGCTTCCAATGCATCCTTTCCACCATCCGTCCTCCTGCTTCTCAAGAACTTTTATCTTGTCTCCTTTGATCAATGCAAGTTCATCATCGTGTTGCGGCCGGAAACTAAATTTTGCAACCACAGTTTCAATCCCGGCAAGAACGTCCTGAGGTACAAAATATTCTCCTGGTTGATTGAGAGTCCCATTCTCAGGACTATCCTTTTCTTTTGGTCGCTTTAACTTTCCTAAGAATCCTTTGTTAGCTCTTTTCACATAGTTGGAGGGCACAAAACCTTTTTCATGTCTTGAATTTTCTACTTGCCACCAAGTTTTGCTGTCATCAATTATAGTTAGTTTCTCATCCTTCCTAATTGATAATTCTTCATGCTGCGTTGCTGTGTAGTCATAGATGGCAATCGCATTCATACATGACATCTGCAAGAAAGCATAGCTTTAATATCTGAAGTCACCGCTGGAGTCACAAAAATTCGTGTCTGGTAGCTAAGGGCCCAAGCCAGTCATCTTCAAAACAAATCATTAACTGTCTGAGATGGGTTAGAAGTAGCCCCAGGCAAGCAAAATGAGAGAGCTGTTTGCACAAGCTGGAGTTTAATTTTTTTCACCCTGAGTAATTCTGTGTCCATAAGAAGAATGGTAGTTTTGCGAAAATTTCTATTTTCACTAGTATTTCCCTAGTGACCAGAAACATTGTTTCAGGAGTACCCAAAATACCGGTAATTATTCATAATGAACTTTCCTTTGAATAATAAAACTACAATTATGTATAAAGTGGCTGAGGTTTACATGTAAGACCAAACTTCCTGATGTTTTCATGACAACGCATGTGGTGTCCACTTTACTATCATGTATCATTGCATCTACTAATATTGTACGACACAAGCATTTGCTTGTGTAAAGTAAAACAGGGCTTATAATAGGACCAAGGGAGTGAAATTCACGCCAACTAGGATTCCAACCCACGAGTCAATTTGCAATGAGAAGTAAACACATGAAGAAATTACAAAATAAACACAATATCTTCAGCAACATTTATACAAAACTTGGGTTATTACTGAGGATTTTTCCCCATCAGTGTCTTAGTTAAGTAAATAGTACAGGGAGAAAAATGCCTATTATTGTATCTTGTTTTAAGACGGATTGGGGTTGTGAAACAGCCTTGTTAAAGTCACGCTTGGTTGTTTTGGTGTGTTACCCTTAGATCGAACACATGTATCGCACAAGCGGTCAAATAGCACAAAAATGGTTAACAAACGCACAAAAGAGTTGAATAATTTTCTCCGGAATTCCGTGAAAGTCAGAGCTTCTCTCGAAAAGCAATTAGCACGTGATGACTTTTTTCAATTGCAATTCGAATATCTTGCGCAACGAAGTGGCCATTTAAGTTTCTATTTCACCGAACAGGGGCCTTAGCCACGAGCAAAATTTCTCTAAATCGCCTCTCATCTGCCCAAAGAAAGTTACTTAGCTACAATTGCAGTATATTGTCTAACAAAATTGTATCTAAGCTTAAATGTAAATATTACGGTGAACGGATATCGGTAACGGCTCACAATTTGTAGTTTGATGCGTACGCTTGCCGAATTTCACGGATGTTAGTTTTGTTTTTTACATATCGCTTGTCCTACGGCAGTAGAAACCCCAAAGGTATATTTATAACTTGCTGTAAGGCTTTGCTTAAATTTGCAATAGGTAATTGTTCATTCAAAGAGACTCTTCAAATTGAGATCGCACAACTATCACACTTCATTTCCGATCACATCACGGACGTACCCTTCAAATTATTTTCACTTTCGACTCCTTTTCAACGCACACATTACCAAAACTTTTACTATCCAGTTCGTATGTTTATACTTTAATTTTATCTTGATTAAGGAATAGACAGTCAATACCTCGGTCAACTATTCCTTAACCGTCTTTGATGGTTTGAAACCATGCGATAAGATAATTTCTTAATCGATTTCAATTTGAGCGAGATTCCACCTTCCACTTTGTATAAATTCTCCAAGAATATTAACCACATTTCTTGTTTTACCAACCTTTTGTATGCAGACGACCCTTGATAAGATGATCCTTGCCCAGATTATTCGCTAAAGCCTTGACTTTCCAAAGCCCAAGACAAGTCGGTTACAACGCGGAATTTTTTATCGCACTGAAGCGAATGTCAACATGGCCGACAAGTTGTTCTTACACCCATGTCACGTGGTTTAAGGAAGCTCAGTGTTCCTGTTTCCATGCCCTCGCAGATCACGTCACTACTCAAATTTATCGTCCTTATCAACTACTTACCCATTATATCGGATAAACTCAAGTTTAATTTTTGTAAATATATCAAGTACGTAGACCTTCTGTATGAACTTCCTTTGCGAGGGTGGAAGAGGGCGGAAGAGAGAAAGGGGTTTTCCCGTGGGGTGCCGGGCTTGGCTGCCCGCAAAACAAGAATCTGCGTCAATGTGTGGAAGAGTCAGTCAGGCTCTTGGTGGATTGGATTGTAAACAGGGGACAAACAGGGGATTTCAATGGGCCAAGGGGAAATGCTTATTAAAAAGTGACAAACAAATAAACACGTGTACGATGAATGGTATAAAAAGAATTTAATAAAGGTGAAACCACTTCGATAAGCCGGATCTTGTGCAGTCCTAGCCTGAATCACTAAATGAAAGGGAAGAAAAAACAGATCTTCAATGCAGGAAGATTCCTCCTCGATCTGCTCCCCTGCAATCATTACACCATCACCCTGTTTGTGGCCGACACGCAGGCATTAGCTTTGTCTTTGTGGCATTGACCTTTATAGGCCAACTTTTGCAGTCTTAATTCCTCCAGAGACCGTGTTTTGTCCTGCATGTTCTACCAGACATCGGCGAAACCCAGATCTTCTTCAGTGAAGTTCGTCAGGGACCACAGGATATCATGTCTCGCTAACTGGCCCTGTTATACGAAAACTGAAAAACTCATGGTCAATAATCATCATATGGACAGTTATTAAGGGGGCAAGAATCCGCCTCGTCCACATGGTTTTACAAGGCTTTTCCGCTGGGAAAACCCTTGGACGAGATTGCGCACTAATCAGGGACCACTAAGATTTGCACGATCTGCGAGATGATACTTGACTACTAGTACTAGCTATACCGTAGACTACTAGTACTAGCTATACCGTAAGTACTTAGGGACGGACCATTGGAAAACTTATCGGGGGGGGGGGTGCGGGCGAAGTACCAAAAAAATATTCGCTCAAGGGAAAATTAAATGAAAAAAAATTCATGCACGCCAATTAATCCTAAAAACTATTCATGCTATGGCCTAAAAAAATTCATATAAGGAATTTGATAACGAAAAAAAATTCCTGCAGCTCGAAAATTCCCCTTCCCCTCCCCCCATAACGTTTCCAATGGTCCGTCTCTTAACGAGGTCGTTCCCAGGGTCCTTTCCAACCCGTCTCGTCCTCTCGAAACCGCCATATCCTTTATTAATTTAATCCTTTTATTACCCTTTTGGTTAGTGTAGGTTGTTTGCGCGCACGTTATTTAAGCAAGCGCGCTCTCTTTTATTATTTAATTAATTGACGTGTGTATTTACTTCGTTATTTAACGCTACCTTAAAACTCTGTTGTCAGTCGTGATTCCTCTCGCAAAACGGAAGTGCAACATTCGAGAAATCATTTAAAATCCACGAACTCGATCTTTTACTTGTAGTCAGGAGCCCGGCCTGTTGTATTTGAATTTTGACTTATGTTCATATCAAGGCTATCAACGATACGGATTTTACAACAAGCGTGTGTGTCAACAGAGCTAGAAGTGATTGGGTCCGCAAGAGATTTTTTCCGCGGAGAATCTCTAGAACCAGTTTTCTCAGCTTCTCAATCTCCCGGCTTCAGAGCTAAATTTGAAGCCCTCATCAGTCGTTACAGAAAAAAAAGGATGAATCATTTCTTAATCTCTGCTGAGTCGGACAGTCCGGAATGTCTGCCAAGGTTTCAGTGCGAAAATAAAAGATGGGACGGCACGCTTTGCTGAAACTAACTTGGAACTCATTTGAACCACCGACATGTCATCAGGATGTTTCGGTTATCTTTTAAGCCGTGTTGAACTGATCTTCGCATCTGGAACAAGTACTGAAGCTTAGTCAGCCATGTTTGCTAAGCTTTGGTAGAAAACACGTGACCGGAAGTCGTTCGCATGAGATGCACATACATTCAACTTGAAAACTGAATTAATTTTCAGTTTCACATTACTTTACCAACCATACAGGAAAAAAATTGGATCTAACCGTTTTTTTTGTGTGTGTCATTTTGTGTCTAAAATTGGCTAGGTAATTTATAGGAGTGTAGCCCGCGTTTGTGTTGGTACGTTGATATGAGCTATGATTATAAGATACGTTAAGATTGTTCGTTAAAGTAAACAAGCACTTGAAAATGTATGCCATCATAGAATTAACGTTGCCTTGGATGAAAGGTATGTAGTTGACGTAGTTGTAACAGCAGACTGAGAAAAGAACTGAGAAAAGAACCGATGAATTAAAAACCTCAAAGCCTAACATCTTTAATAATCTTGCTGGCTTTGTTCTCGGTTGTCTCCAGCCAGGCCCGTAACCAGGATTTTATGTGGGGGGGTGCTAACGAGGCCAAAGTGGACCAAATTAACGAAATGTATTTTTTATTGTCTGATCTGTTTATTTGGGAAATGTATTTTCCCTCTTTGTGTCTCGAAAACTTCTATTTTGATGGTTTGGAATGCCTGCGGATTGCTGCTTTAGATTAACCCCTCAGTCCCTCTCCGAATTGTTACTCTGTGTTCCCTTACTGGCTTTTTATTAAGTGAGTTTGTTTCATATCGAAAAATAGCGACTAAATCCCAGAGCATAATAATGGGATCAAGACTGGTGGACATGCGAAAATAAGTATGATTTACCTTCTACATCTCGCTGTAAAACTGTAGTTTAATTGAGATAGATCTGAAGTCGTGGTTTCAGCTGGGCTGTCATCGCAGACTGCACTGTCATTGTCAGCATCTGATGGCTCTTGACGGGGTACTTTAGTGACCCATGTATCAAGAGAATGGCAAGATTTAGCTGCAGCCTTCCTCTTTCTATTTTCCTGCTCTCTCCTACCCATAACGTATTACACAAAAAACCAATTTTGCATTTTCGGGCGTTCATGCGCTCGTACAAATGACAAAATCGTGAGATCGCTCCCTTGGCATTGGCTCGCTCGTCGTAACCTCCCGTACAAAGCGTACGCACGTTTAATAATTTCATTATTCATTTAGATAAGCTCGAACATCTGTGCTCATTGAAATGTTCTGAATGGTTTGGGCTACTATAGTGCAGCTGGTTTTATTTTTCCAGTGAATACACTACTGCTTTTTCCATTCTTTGATTTTGTTTAAATATCACTGTTAAGTTTGAAACTTCAGTTTAACCGACTGCACTCCTTAACTTGGATATTGAGTATCAAAATGCGGACCTTTGGGGCCTGTGGGGGGCTGCGAATGCACCCCCCCCCCCCTGGTTACGGGCCTGCCAGCTCAAATCCCCGGTCACGCTTGTAAATAGCCAACTGGTTGCCTCCTGCCGGTTGGGGTTATAAAATCCTGTTATGTTGTGTTTGGATTATTTGTTTTCTAAATATTAACTGATTGTAAAGTGCTTTGGATCGCTAAGAGGAAGGCGCTCTATAAATGTATTTTATTATCATTATTATTATTATTATTATTATTATTAAAATAATAGCAGACTTTTTCAAGGTCACTTTTTACTTTTGCTTCTATTTCATATAATGGGTGACAGTGTGCCAGCTTCAATTATGTATGTTTCTTCTTTTTTCAGTTAGCAAATAAAATCTGTTGAAATTGTCTGTGAGTGTACGTTTATTTTGCAGATGTCAAATTCATCTCCTTCGCGGTTTAAAAAAAGTATCCAAGTTGAGTAAGAAGAGCAAACTATTGTTGACACTTACTCGCTCAAAAGGGTTTCCTTCTTTTTCCAGTCTGGGAAAGTAAATTACTCCGGGAAAGTTAAGGTGAATTTCGCAACGGGTGGAATAAGAATTCCAGTCTAAAAATTTCATTAGCACAGGACTCGTCAGACTGATGGTAAGCCTCTGCAGCCTGTTACCATTCGCACTATCAATTTCAATTGAACTGAAAATACCGTCAAAGGCCTTTTAAAACAGGTTTTAATTACTGATTGCTTTTAGTGCCAATAAAACCCTGCTGTTACCGGACGTTTTGACGTTTTAAACACCATAAACATGTTCTGTGGTTTCTAAACAGATTTACTTTCATTTTTAAACTTTCGCTGAATCTGTGATTATACGTGCGAATCAAAAATTGACGCAAAGGAGGGCAAAAAGCAGTCAAGATAGTATTTCCGCTTTATCTTAAATTCTTTTTCCGCTAAAAAACCGCTATTGCAAGAATCAAAACTGACCAGTTCAAAGTTTGTGTTACTGATTTGGCTTCAGTAAAACTAGCAGTAGATGTCAGTTTTGTAAACCGCGAAAAACTATGTTAAAATGAATAAAATAAGCACAAAATGGATGAATTATGGTAGTACTGTTGGTAGGGGATAGATTTTGTTCAAATGCCATATGATTTTTTTTGTATTGATTTTGTTATTGTAAGTCTCCACGGATTTTAATTCAGTCCGCCTACTTGAAAATCTCTTCAAAAATGAGCGTACTTCAGTGTCGTTGGCATCAATTAGCTTTGCGCCATTTGTTCCTTAAATTATACCCAATATGTATTCTTAGAAATTACACTGAAAGAAAAGGAATGATAAGCGACGGAATATGTGTGATATCTTGATTAATCTATTTGATTTGAGTCTCTGATATGAAAGGCTCAAACGTAAGGAGATTTAAGTTGAAAAAGGGACACATTTACCATTAATTGGCATACACTTCTTTCATTACCTGCCGGATTTCCTTTTTCTGTTTCTTCTTGCCAACCTGGAAACATAGAAAAATAACCGTTCTCTGAAAAGGAAATTAGTCTAGATGTAATGTAATATTTAAAAATTTCAGGAAATGCTGAACTTAAAGTGCACAAGTTTTTCAATTTTCCTTCCACGCAGTCTAGCAGTTTAAGATAAAAATTTTATCAAGTTTCTATAGATATATCAATATTTTCTAAAAAAATATATAGGATAAAGAAAACTGATATCTAATTAGACATGTCTGTCTACCTTTCAGCTTCGTTGACGAAACTAAAGAGAGAGATGTTATTTCAAGTTTTTTTTCTTTCAGCAAAGCAACATTGTATCACGGCTGAATTGATACGAAGTCAACTAAAGACAAATCACAACATTCGCGGCACAAAACATTTTCAACCCAACCTTTATGTTTGCTTCATTTGAAAAATTTGTTCCAATTTTATCGCATTTCATTTTTATTCTGAATTTGTCAGAAACGGGATGTTTTAGATAAAATTTGTCAGTAATATTTGACGAAATTTTCCACAAGTCACAAGATCAAATTGGACCGTATCGTTATGTTCACACCTAGCTGCGATTTTCTTTTATTTCCTTCTTTAAAACGAAACTACTGCAAGAATTAGCACGTTGATTGTTTTCATTTAACAATAAATCCTTAATTTAGGGAGAATTTTCACGTGCGCGCGATTCAGTACTGTCCGGCAGCCCGCCCCCAATAACCCAAGTCAAGTCTCGTTTTGAAAACGCATCAATTCAGTTCAGAACTTAGCTGATGGAGTTTTAACATGGCGCAAAACTTGCCTTTTTCAGTGGCTAATATACTTCGTTCGGACTTCCCGCATCCTTCGCGTATCAGCAAAACACCCAGGGTTTTATATGTGCCACCTTGTTTTAAAGAAGCTGCAAATGTTCCGTTTGTAGCCGGCTTGCGTTGCGAGCTTGATCAACGTATGAAGTGCGGACAAGCTGGATGTTTTAGCTATAGCGGTGCTCCGCCAATTTTTTCACGGCCAGAGAAAGATACGATGCAAAGTTCCACTCAAAGAAGAAGACGACAGGGAAAGACGAATTCTAGCGAAACTCAAAACGAAGGTAATATTACTTTTAACACTCATCCCTAGACTTTTCATTTGAGTTCATTACATTGAGTTTTTACCTGGCCAGACGCGCAATTAATGAATGCTGTTAGTTAAAAGTGTTGTTCTAATAACACATAGCACTTGACATTTTGAAACCCATACGCAAGGTGTTGAAAATTTCAAAGAAATGTTTTAGTTTTCATTGATTAACGCAATTAGGCTTATAGTTGTTTAAAAAATGACGCCTTTTAATATATATTTGTATGCAAGTTCGTCTTTTGTGCAAACTCAGTGAGATTCATGCTTGGCTGCCCTCATATGTGCAACATGGTTTTGTCGCTAAAGTAAAATTTTAACAATTTTGAATTTCAGTTAGATTAATTTCCTATAAACGTATTGCTAATTTTCAGTAGTCCCCTCTTTAAAAATTCCTCCATTTGTCACGGAGTTTTTTATCTCGCGACTTCTGTTGGTCGCCAAAAGTGTATCAGTACAAAGTAAGTGTAATTTGAAAATCATTATTTAACAAATTTGTTGAGAAAACTTCGTTATAAAACCAAAAAGTGTGTGAAAAAAATTATCATGGGAATGCAATGACTCATTGTGAATTTGCAATTTCCGTACAGAATCGAGTGAACGCATAGTGACACATGAACTTCGTTATGCTAAACTTCTAACTTTTATCAAACTTTGCCAGTTAGAATTTTTCCTCCCATATTTCGCCACTGCAAACGTCTTGAAACATCAGAAACGGATTCAACACAACTGGGGATTTTTTTTATTTTTTAACTATGGCAGCAAAAGCTAAAACTAGCATTTGCCGTTAATCTGTACTGAACTTTCATTTGTATGACATTTTTCATGACTGACGACAAATAAAACAATTAAACTATTTTAAAAGAGATCAATTTTGCGAAGATGAAAAGAAAATGATTTTGTTAACAGTAAAGTACATATGATTCGCAAAATGTCGCCAAAATTGGGCTGTTACTTTTAGTCAGAATGGTTTTCACTTCCTCTCAGTCTGTCCCGCGTCACTGCAAAAATGGTTGTCTTTCAATTTTGTTCATCAAATCAGACAGGTACCTGTAAAATTTTTGCTGATATGAAATGAAACAATGAAGAATATATAATTTCCTGAAACTCTGGTTATGAAACAAGGGTCATATTTAAGTTTCGCTCTTTTAAGAGAGGACAATGCCCCAGTCAAATAAAATCCCGCCCTCAACCCACCCTTGCAGGGAGGGGGAGGGGGAGTGAGAATTTAACCTGTACCTGGTGTCAAAGAAAAGCTATCTACTGGAATAAGCACAAATTTCTTTGGGATATCCCCGTCTGTATACTTGGAATTCGTCTCTTTGCGCACGGCCGTGCATGTTCCGGGATTTCCCGGGCTTTATAGAAGAGGGGAAAGTCTTTGCTCTTCTTGGAAACATCATGAATGCGTTATATTCTAGCCCGGGGCCCGTTTCTCGAAAGTCGTCCTGCATGGTAACTGTTCACGTCTGAAATCATTCAAATATTCCCAAATATATAACTGAAATGTAAAAGAGCGGGTCCTAGCTGGCAAACTGGTGCATTTTCAGTTTTGTTAACTCGGAAAGTTTTATCGTATCATATCTGCAAACTGTTAAGCTTCGATTAACAACAACAGCTAATCGACCTGATCGGGACCCCCGCGGCTTTCGTGAAACGGGGCCTGGAACCGGAAAACAGCTGCCGTTTCGCGTTTCCCTTTTGCTCGCGGTGGAATTTAGCAGTTGGGTGTCCCAAAACGTTTGCTGTTTTCTCAAGCTACACAATTTTATCGCGGGTTGAACAGGACTAATGGAATAAAAGAAACATACATATTTCTTTTGAAGTAATGACATAATTCCCTTGTTTTTAAGTTTGGGGGTAATACTGGAATAATGTTGTCTTTTATAGGTCTTTTACTTTACTGAGTCTAGAAGATTTAAATTTCGAATGGATCTCATGCCCTCTTCAGCCCCCAATTCGATTTCGGGAATTTGACCAATTTGGAAAAACATTTTTTTTTCTCTTTTAAAGAAAGTTTGTTTTCCCAAGCTAAGCCTTATCCTGTGGTTAATTTTGGCAAAAACTTTTACTTTTCTTGGAAAGGCAAATAAGCGCTATTTTGAAAGGGCTTAAAGATTGTTTTCAGTGAAAAATCGGATTAGTAATGAGCTGTTTTTGTGAGGTTTTGACTGATTTATTTGAAAAGATGACTGTGTTTTATTTAAGGACAATCACTGTTGTTGCATTTTCTGAGAGATTTTGATTCATTTTCCTAAAATGTAAAATATGCTAATTCCTGTTGGGCAAGCGATTGGTCGAGATTGGTTCAGGCTAATTTTCTCCCACAAGGTGCCAAGGGCATTGAGTAAAAAAAAGCAAACCAGTTTTGTTCAAAACACCAAGGTTTTTATTATTCTCTCTTGGTGTTGTTTATTATTTCCTCGCACAATATTCCAAGTAAATACAGAGCGGCCTTTAAAAGTTTAGGGTCGGTTATTTAAACGAAGGCCAATTTAGGCCGCGGGTTAAAAAATCATTGAACCTTCAGATCTCTCTCTTAGTGGGCTATTTTAAGAAAACAAGTGCTTTCCAGTCTACACTGTATGCTTTATTGAAACTGTTCACTGTAAACAGTGAACAGTTTCAATAAAAGCGTTGGGCACTGACTGAAAATGGCTTAGAACGCGGTTTTGTTAAACACGGGCTAAACTCCGTTTAAATAACTGGCCCTTAGTTTTTATCACATGAGTGGTAGTTATTAGCTAGTATCATGTCACAGAACCTGATAATGGACATAAAAAACTTCTGTTGTTGTTGTTTACAAAAAATAATGTGCTTTAAAATTGTATACCCCGTATACCGCTGAATAGACCAAAAAACCAAAAACCAAAACATATACCTTCTACAGCGTCATCTTCATGTTAGACCAAATCAGGAAGTGTTCAACACTTCCAGGCTTTCAACTGTTCTTGTGGTTGTCGTTGTTGGTTTTTTTTTCTTGTTGCCTTACTGATTTCAAGTTATGTATCATTTTTCATTTGAGGTTATTTTTTCCTGGGGTCTTTTTATAAGTGCCTTTACAGGTGTATTGCGGCCGTGGGTCTAAGTCGGGATGAAGAGGTTGAGTGAGTGAGAGTGTCATGACACTCGCCACGTGTATATTTGAGATATTTTTATTTATGGGAGATCTCTCTGATATTGTCCTTTCCAGTTAAAACCTATTATGATGTAATCGTAAAATATTTAATTCCTTCGGTAGACAAAAGTGCTGGAAGCAAAAAGACCGATGAAAGTAAAGAGGACAGCAATGCTAGTAAAGAGAAAAAACATGTTAAAAAGAAACGAAATAGAAGCCATTTCACACAGGTGCAGCTCAGATACCTGGATGACGTGTTTTCCCGCCAACAGTACCTGACACGTGATGAGCGCGCGCTGCTAGCGAATGCTTTGGACATGACAGAGCTACAGATCAGAAACTGGTTTCAGAACAGGAGATACCAGTTACGTCATCGAGGAGTCAACAAACCGAGGCAGGTTCCTGTTAAGGTGCTGGTCAGCAGTAGTACTGGGCATGCGTCCGAGGCCGACTGAAAGCAAGACGCTGGGCGATTTCTTGTGAGGAAGTTTTGAAGAGTGTCTAAACTATTCTATAATAGATGTGATATTATCAATCAAATGTTGCTAAACATGTTGAAATAGCGGTCAGGATCTTTTTAAGTTGAAAATAATACTGCTGTTTTCGAATTCAACATTGAGGTCCGGCAAAATGTATTTTCGTTGGCACGGTGCAAATGTGCGCAACCGGATTGTGCCTTGTGCGTTTAAATATATATGGTGAGATGAATAAATTACACACGGTTTTGATACCTTTAGTAAAGGCGCTCAATTCTTGATATAACACCGATTCTAGGATGCCACCTTCCAGTAGGGGTGACGAATGGTCTTTGCGAGCATTCGCGAGCATGCGAGCACTGCGTTTTTTTGCGAGCACGAGCAGAGATAAAAAAATTTGCTTTGCGACCAGCGAGCAGTTTGGAGGAGTACAACTCGCGAGCAGCGAGCACTTCTTATATAGGGACAAGATCCTCGTGTTAGAACAGCCTCTTCTGGAAGAATCCTAAAGCTTCCAAACCGTTTTTATCGAAAACACGGCCTAATTAAAGCCCAGTGAGTAGGGCGGTAAAGAAACTCAGAGGAACTCAAGGTAACAATATCTTGTCTTCTTGTAACCATCTTTAGCTAGATCAGCTAATTTATTATTTATCGTTGTCATTTATCGCGTGCATTTCCACTGAACTTGATAGCCATATTTATAGGAATTAAGCACCATACAAAATTACATTTACTTTAACCCAAAGAGGGATTTACAAAATTTCGAGCAATACCTTTCATGCGAGGCAAAAATTTGGGAAGCACGAACAGCGAACAAGCAAAAAAAGGTTCGATGAAGTTAAAAATTTTCATGGACTATTCATCACCCCTTCCAATGGTGTTTCACTGAGTTTGTCATCATTTTTAATTTCATTTTTTTTAGGGTTTCCTAAAATACGTACTGAAGAATGTCTGGACCGACGTCGCGTGTTAAAAATATATTCAAGATGAGGAGTTTCTTCTTAAGACAGCCATCAAAGCTCGATAAAATCAAGAGTTTTCGATCTGTCTTAACATCGATATCAACTATTCGATATCAGCGATATCATATCCGCATGGTTGAAAACAAAACTGAAGGGTGATTAAGACTGCATGTCAAGCTTTAAAAATGGGAAAAATATAAAATATATAATTCATTATTTGATTTATGTTTTCTTTCTTCATTCGTTTCTCTCGCTCTTCTTGTCGCAAGGAACCTTGCAAAAAAAGAAACCAACGCGTAAACTGAACGTGCCCATGAGCTTTGGTCTCTTTTATGCTTGCGTGTCCTTCTGGAAAGAACTACCTGTTGTTACGTTCCTTTTAACATTTCTAGAAAACAACTATGTAATTATATTTGATTTGATCTTCATAAACTTCCTCTTAGTCTGACGGCGCTGAACTCCTATTTTAAGCCGCCTTTGCGTGAAGGAAGGCTATCTATTCCCTGTTACTGAAATCGGAGTTAGTGGATGCAGATTGTATTATTTTTTGCAAAACGTAGACGGCCAGTTGGTTCTTTTATGACACACATTTTGAGGCTTGTAACAAATCTTTTTTCTATCTTCTCACACGTATCTCTAGAGCCCTCTCAAAGCGTCCGTCCGGCCCTTAAAAGCTACTTTATTTTTAAATCAGCAGTTTTCCCAAAATGCAGGTGCTTGATCAGCGATATCATATCCGCAAGGTTGAAAACAAAGCCGATACCGGCCGATTTAAATATCGCCTCTTTCTACGCCGATGGGCATAACCGGATGAGCTCCATCTTATTTCGAAGTATTGTAACGAGGAGTGTGAGAGGGGGGCAGAGGAGCATTACTTGAGCTAGAAGAGCCATCTGATAGGGGGATGTTTCAATTTAAGTAGGACTTGGGCGTATATATACAACTGTAAAGGCTCCCAAAAGAATTTCACTCTTGACTGACGTTCCCGATTTCGGCGAGACTGAAAACTTTGCTCACAAAAAACCAAGGTATTACTAGCGTATTAGTACAAAGCTATTTCTATAGTTCTAAAAACGGCACACTTTCGCAAATAATGGGGATCGTTATTTTACATTTTCAGCTGAGGGTGTTAAGAGCAGCCGGAGGGAAGATAAACACTCTGTTGTGGGGAGGCCTTTTTTTAATTCAATTTGGGTGTGGCCAAACAATGTGCCGAGGGTGGTGTGGCAAATCGAGGATTTTGTGTGAACATTTGTGAAGTATTCTGGGTGTTATAATATTTAGCAATAGGGATATCGTTGTTTAAATGTTTGCAAAAAGTAAACAGAGTCTTCTGTCACTACATACGCCATATTCGCATCACGATGAAATGCTCCCCAGCCTTGGATATTGTCGGCTCAACCATCGTTCCCATTTCTCTCTGTTGACTATATAGAACGGCGCAGATTTCCCTTTAGTTGCGCCAATGCAGAAAAATCTGGAACGTTGAGACTTAAGGACTTTGAAAAAGACTGAATGTTCAGGGGGCGAGCCGTTTTCACTTTTGGGATATGTTTTCTTGTTTGTTTCAAAAGGGACGATTGTTAATGTATTATTAAAAACCCTTATGATATTACCTCATGCATTCAGCTAGGCGTGGTTATCGCTCAATTCCTGAAGTGATCAGAGCCCATCATCTCAAAAAAAACCGCCCGGCGACTGTGCTAAGTAGCGGCTAATAGGCCTGAAGAGCTGAAATATGCTTACAGGACAATCCGATTTAGACCGCTCGTAGGTTGTCTAAAACAATTAGACATGGTGGGGCAGCTTTTACGTCTCCGTAGTGAGTGGCATTCCTGAACCAACTAAAATAAATTCACCGAGCAAAATAATTCAAGACTCACGCATGGCAAGCCCTCAAAAGAAAGGCTGGGAAGAGGAACTGAAGACGGGCCGAGAATAAAGCATATGCTTCGAAGATTATCAAAAGCGCGATTTAAATGTTAGAAGTTGAACGCCTGAACAATAAAACTGGTCAGCAACACAACAGTTCTCTTGGTTAACTTCTTTCACATTCAATTGAAATGGAATGCATGCAGGGTTTAAATCACCCTTTCAGGCGTTTTCGGGACAGCTAAAAAAATTCGATGAATGTGAACTCACGTCATGAATCAGAGCAATAAATAACAACCGTTAAAATTGCCGAAGGGTGATTAAGACTGTATGTCAAGCTTTAAAAATGGGAAAAATATAAAATGTATAATTCATTATTTGATTTATGTTTTCTTTCTTCATTCGTTTCTCTCGCTCTTCTTGTCGCAAGGAACCTTGCAAAAAAGAAACCAGCGCGTAAACTTATGCTTGCGTGTCCTTCTGGAAAGAACTACCTGTTGTTACGTTCCTTTTCTTATTTCTAGAAAACAACGATGTAATTATATTTGATTTGATCTTCATAAACTTCCTCTTAGTCTGACGGCGCAGGACTCCTATTTTTAGACTGTGCGTAAAGGAAGGCTATCTATTCCCTATTACTGAAATCGGAGTTAGTACATGCAGATTGTCTTATTTTTTTTGCAAAACGCAGCCAGCCAGTTGGTTCTTTTATGACGCACATTTTGAGGCTTATAGCAAATCTTTTTTCCGGCTTCTCACACGTATCTCTAGGGGCCTCTTAAAGCGCCCGTCCGGCCCTTAAAAGCTACTTTATTTTTAAATCAGCCGTTTTCCCAAAATGCAGATGCTTGATGGGCTGGTTGCCAGTTTCATGTTTTGTAGGGAGGGATGGGGCGGTGGGGTACGGGGTACGTACAAATTGAGTTGCCTACTTTGTCAGCAGCCTTCTGTGAGTATAATACGTTATATTTCGCAGATGGCAAATGTTCATGATTGATTGGGAATATTGTGTTGGGTATTAGAAGCTTCCCTAAGTTGGACTGATTTTTACGTGAGTTTCTTCATTTCTTGTTGTGTAATACAAAATTTTGTCGGCGAGTATGCATCCATAATCTTCTTTGTTCTGCGGAAGCATTTTACAACAACACTTCTTCGCCGGAATCAACATTTTTCGTCATTTTCACTTTGGGTTTCTTTGCAGCTTGTTGTTGTCTGTTTCTAAGAGGCAAACCCTTGAAACAATAAACAAACCTACGCCTACGGAAGCTTTTTCTTTAATAACAGGAAACCAAGAGCCTTAATCATTATGGCTCTTGCAGGATGCGTACTTGTTGATGCTATCCTGTAACCTTAAATTCTCTTTAAAACAAATAAATAATTTTATACGTCAATTTGGTGTGGCCAATTAAGTCATTTAAATACATAATTGGTGTTAAAACTGGGCTGACCATTGACGACAGTCGGGGAAGGGTCGTTAGGTGACGTCATCAAAATACCATTGTACCAAAACACATCAAATAAAGATAATCGGCAGCACCGGACAGAATTACAAGATCAGTTAAAATTGAATTAGTTGTATCAAGTTTTGTTTAAAATAGACGTGATTAAGATTTTTTCTCCGTTAATCAACAATGACCCATTCAAAAAAACCTGCCATCATGAAATGGCGCATGGACTCTAACTGCAAATTAGAATTAGCTGCAGATAATTAAAAATAAATAGATAAGTAACCTGAAATAACTTAATAAATCCAGCGTGATTTTAAAGCACGAGTCAGATAAATACGAATATTTCGATATGCCGAGACTGGAGCCGGTATAGATCCTGAAATAATCCACAGCAGTGAGCCAACAAGAGCACGGGCGGGTTCTTCAGAGGTTGGTCTGTGAAAATAAATGACAATCTTTTGATGACCTTTAAGGACGATTGGTTAATACATAGTTAATCTGGACAGATATTCCACTAAAGGACGTTTTAACTTGCAGGATATACCTGGGGTTGTATCTAGAGCATAAGTTTTAATTTTTGCCGAAAGCATTTTGGAGCTCGGACACGACGAGCAAAAGAATGAGTTAATTTGGCTAGACATATTAATGACATAAAAGTGATTAACATTCCAAGATGTCCTTCCTCGATTTTGTTGTTCCATGATTATCCCGGCGGCGGGAATATATACAATACGAAACCGCATCATTTTAAATCAAAGGGTTTTGAGGGTTTTGTTTACAAACAACTACACAACGTAGCCTTCATTTGTCTTCACTGACTCTCTTTTGTCTCTCTTCGTAAAAAATAATGCGGAAGAGACTCTTTTCTTGACTCTCTGCAACGCCTGTAACCACCCCCTGTTACATACTGTTAAGCTGCTTCAATTTATAGAAATGTTTGTGTCATTTCTAATTGAGTTTACCGTCTCGTGACCTCTTAAAAGTCATAGGACAAATATGTTTTTACAAAGAGACGATACGGATATATGATTTTAATTGTTGGTCACGCAGCACTCGCGTGGGTCGTGAGATGACGTCACCGGAAGTGCGTTAAAGAGTTCGCCTTCTGAAAAAATGTAATAGTGTTAAACTCATCATGCTGACCATAGATAGCATAAGGCCGCTTTTTTTCGAAAATATTTTTCCTCAGATGCTCAGAAATATATCTTTTAAAAGACATGATTAAATCTCTAATCGTGTATAAAGTGAAAACAAAAAACATGCACAAAAAAGTACCTCTTTCAATTTTGTCACACATGATGTGATCACAGCAAAATCATTTATGCCCCCAGTGGATCACTGATGAAGTCCAAACACCAAACCGCTCAAAAACGTGGGAGGCACCACAACATGGCCGCAATTTTAAAGGAAAAAGGTCAACCATTTTACGTGATAACAGCCGGTTTAAACACTGTCCTTCAAAGGCCAAGCATTTTTCCACAGCAGTTTCAAAGCCAGCTAGTGCTGAAACAAACACAGCAGTGCGGCAAACAACAGAGGGACTTTCCCTTGTTACAGAACTCAATCAACTGAGTCATACTTATTTAATAAAACAATTCAGATTTATTCCAATGTATATTCTATTACTTCTTGTGCTTTCTAACAGTCTTCATACCCTATAGATGCATTATCGTTCCCTTTTCAACTTGAAATGACGATGTCTATAAAGTTGCATTTTTTCTCCAAATTCGCGATCATTTTTCCTTTTTCTGTTTTCACACTACCATACGACAATTGCCGGTTTGATAATTCTTAATTACTGCGTATTATGCAATTTAATACAGGGCTAATTCTGCTGATTAGAATATATTTCTAGGAACTGCAGCCTGGACAATTTAGAATCGAGGGACTTTTTCGGTTTCGTGGAAAATGTGGAATCAGCAAACATTAAGATCTTGGAGATCTCAGTAAAAGGCCAAGTAAAAATGAATCGATTGCTGCAATTTCGTTCCCGGAAAGGCCGGTTTATTGCAAAGCAATTTTATTCAATGTTATTTCCCATGCATCTGGTAATTCTGGTCGAAAAGGAAACTGCTCTTGAAAATAACCAACACCCCCAGACTTGTAATGACAAGTTACTGGGGCGGTACTTAAAATATCAATGACTTCATTGGAGCGTGCAGCGGGCACTAACATAAAACTCATGTGTTGTGTGAGAGACTTTCAGTTTAATTCCGCCACCCTGTCAGGTCACTACAGTTCAAACATGATGGATACACATCAACAAAAGACCTCTCTTTCTTTTTCGATTGACAATATTCTGCGAGATGACTTTCCACAGCAGCGAAAGCCAAGAATCAGTGCTGTGAGTTTCCCAACCGTTCAGTCCAAGTTCGGTCGCTGGCCGAGCGCACCATTTTACCGATGTTTTGCAGTCCGTTATAATCCAGTCCTTGTGCGACTGCTGCCTAACAGGCAAAGATTCGGGGAAAGGTTGCAGCAGGCTAACAGAGTAAGAGAACTGATCTTAGCGCACCAGACAGAAAAACGAGCAGAAGAAGGAAGCCTGAGAACTGACTACGATAAAGAGGAAGACTTCCAGGATAATGAAGGTAAGATTTTCTTGATTTTTTTTTTTTAATTGCAACTTTTTTTCTCCAACATGGTCTTAAATCTCAAGCATCTCCGTCGGTAACAAGACGATTGCGTCAAGGAAAAACTGGCAAGTCCTTCATGAAGTTTATGCAAATGCCAATGCTATAAAAGCAAAAATGAAAAGAAAATTAGGCCGAAACGAGGACAGAAGACTCGTTGGCTAGCGAATATTTTTGGCAAAGAGAGTTTTCAGTTTGTATCGGTTGTTAGACTTACTTATTATACTTGTTTATACATGTTACTAGCGTTAATTTAACTCGGTTTAATAAATGCATCATTGTATAGAACTTGAATAATCAATCATATCCTAACAAATTTAAAGCCGTTAAATCTTTAAACGAAGTCAAATGTCCTCAGAAGGGTTGGTAAATGATTCTTTCACTTCCTGACCACATCAAGTTCAGTTTCTTCAAACAGCACCCTTTTTAGAACAATACTGCAAGGCCTTGTTTAAAATAAATTTAAAAGTCAAACAAACTCTAATTTAACAATGATCAAATAATTACTGATGTAATGTACCTATATAGAAACTTCGTTAACGTGCGATGTTTAAGGTACCGTTAAAATCGCGTGATACATGCCTGTATTTCATGGTTGAAAGGGTAAAAAGCAAGGACTTATCTGGACTTATAAGTTAGTTTTCGCCTTTGTTCGAGCTTGCCCCAACAAAGTATACAGCAAAGCTAAGTCTCATGCAAGAACCGCTTAACATCATACGAATCACATGAAACTAAGAAGGGTATTGACTGATCTTCGGGTTCAAAATTACTTAGTTTGAAAAGTTACTTTATTTTTTTGTTTCGAGGGTTCCATGCCGAGAGAACAGCTTACAGGTATCATTTTAGCCAGCTGGAGCCTTCCCGTTGCGCTCTTTAGCGAATTTTTTTTCGTAATACTTTGCGAGTTTTGAATCATCTTCTGTGACTTTTTTCAACATGTTGCCGGCCGCGAAAACAGTATTAGACCCGCAGATTTGCCACAATTCTTGCCTCTGTCAGATCTTACTATTCACCGCTATCAAACTTGCTTACTATGGTGTTTTTAGGAAAGCCATCTAAATCTCCCGTCGAAAAAAAAACAGGATATTTTACGCTTCTTAACGCTACTGAGCAGAAATCTTAAACTTGAAAACAAAAGTTCTCTTTTGTCGTTTCCTTTACGTAAGAAAGAGCGCTAAAATTGCGGAAAAAGTGCAGAAAGTATGAGGATCAATCAAGTTAAAACAAGCAGGGGTAGTGAATAATTTAATAGGAAAATGGTTGTCATGGATGTTTACTCAAAAAAGTGCGTAGAAAAGCTTGGTTTCCGTTGTGGTGGAATAAAAAAAGAGAGAGTAGGTTAATTTAGTTTTCATACTTAGGTACTAGCGGAAGTATTTTTGTTGACAAAGCAATAATTCTCCAAATATCGACATTACACTTGAATAAGCGCCAAAAATATCTGTTGGAAATTGAAAATTGCGAAATTTACGAGCAAACAAACAAGGTACTTAGGTACTAACGAAAGTTTTTTTGTTGACGAAGCAATTTTTCTCAAAATATCAACGTTACACTTGAATAAGCGCAAAAAATATCCGTTGGAAATTGAAAATTGCGAAATTTACGAGCAAACAAACTAAAATAGTCGCGTGTGGCCTCGCCTGATGTCCGTCTTTGAGTAAACTGATTTTGTGATAAAATTCTCAAATGATCTTATTAATCTAACAGTCGAGAAGTGACCCCAAATTTCTTTCTCCTTCGATGCCTCTTTTTCTCAACCCACAAGCGAGACATATTTCTATTTTCCGGCTATAAAAGACTTCTTTGACTCTGCCGCTGTCCGGTCGCAAGTTGCGACCACGAACGACATACATCGAATCGAATCACGTAAAATTTATCACTTTATTTTCTGTGACTAAAATCGGCTTTAAGTAAGCGGATCATCAGAGTGAAATCTTTATTCCAGGACTTTGGGTTTCATATGAAACTTATTTGCTTCGCTACTGCGGTGTTTAATCCAGTAACATCAGGCTCAAAAGTGCAATGTATCGGTCAGGCGATACTCAGTCGTCAATGTGCTAAATCACCAGGGGCACCCAGAGATTTTTTTCTCTAAAATAACTGTTGGAAAGAGCAAGTATTACCTAAAAATGTCCAAAGCTCGAGTAAGGTTAAAAAATTTCTAGATAATCATTGCGTTCGTCTAAGATATTCGGTTTTTTTCAACTAACTTTGTGTTTTCGCATTTTCAAAGATGTTGCGACAATTTTTTAAAAAATATCTCTTAAAAATTTCGAAACAGAGACTATGTACGGCCACTGCATGTCCTCGAACTTTCGACCGGATCTGGTCAGGGTAGCTAAAAATTTCGAATGAGGCGAAAAAGCTAACTAACACTTTCAAGACGACCAAAGTTCCCCTCAAACAACCGAACAGAGAAGTAGTTTTTAAGGCAACTGCAAATTAACCAAACACAGGGGCACCCAACGACTGTTTTCTGTAAAAGATTTGTTCGGAGAAGCAAATATTACCTAGAATTTTCTATAGCTTGAGGACGGCTAAACATTTCTAGATAATCGTTCCGTTCATGTGCAATTTTCGCCGCTTATCTAATAATCCCTACGATTTCCTGAAGTTTAAATTTTACATTTCACTTCCCAAGTTAGGCTATTTTTTGGAGAAAAAAGGAAACCTTAAATTTTCGGATTCAAAAATGTTATGGAGAGAGGTATCAGAAAATGTCTCACTTTCGTAATACGTCCAATTGCATCAAAATTTTCGGAAAAATACTACTCAAGCCCTTATAATATCGAAAAGACTCAAGTTCCCCTAGAAAAAGTGTTTTCAATGTATTTAGGAGGAAACAAGCTTCTTAGCTGAAGCATAGAGAAGACCATTTGGGACACTTCTGACGTATTTGGAAACATTCGCTCTATTTTGCCTCTAACTCACAGGAATAGTGCGAAGCTACTGAGTTCCCCGTATAAAGCGATGAGAAATACGTTATTTAATTTTGTTGTTTTAAACACTTTACAAAAACGAAAGCATTTTTTGTGCGAAACTAGAGTTTCGTGGGTGGAAAAAAAGAAAAGAATCTGAAAGCCACATCAGTCATTCTTCAAAAATTTCCAAATTCCTGCACCCACAATATAAAAAATCAGCGCCAAAATACAAGACTATTTCTAAACAGGAAATAATTTCCCAACAAAGTATGCCGTTTTACTTGATTGTTCTTCATTCTGGCACAAAGTAATCAAGATTGGCACTTTTTCTCAAAAAGGGTGTGAACACTAGTGTTTTTCTAGATTTTCTGGCAATGAATAACTTCCTCAGCAATTTGGCAAAAACTAGTAACTGCGCTGTATTTCACAGTTCTTAGTCTAAGGAATGCTCTTAACTGTTGTGTCATTGCCGCGAGGTAATTTTTGACCAAACGACTGCATATCTTTGCCAGTTTGTGGGCGGATGTTACGTTATCGACGAAAATATAAAAATGTTAGTTATTATACATGCAATGACTTCCGCGTTTTTAGCGGCCTCATAAGAATTTTGTTTTTCTTTGTAGAGTTTTGAACAATGGCGAAGATATGACTTTTGTATAAGTTGTTGTCTCGAGAAACAGTTTTTACTTGAACTTATTTCTAAGTTCTGGACGCGTCAATGAAGTCGATGAATACAAAATATTCTTATACGTGATCTGGAGGAGTTTTGCAGCTATGTTTTATGGATAAAAATAATGTGAACCGGCAGAGGACTATTTAGACTGGTCGCTAAATCAACAAAGCGTAACAATTCAAACGAAAGTAAGAGAAAGTCGGAAGACGGATGTGGTCGGCTAGAAATACGTGATGAAAGGTAGGAAATAAGGGTTTGCACTACTCACTTCCTACAATAATTTCTAAAAACTTTCAATTGGTCAAAAAATGAAGAAATTGTAATTTTAAGACAAAGTTCTCGCGAAAAGGCAACGAGGTTCTACACGAGTTAGCGGAATTTTAAACTTACTCACGTTGAAACCGCGCGACGAAACTCGCGTGATCTTTTTGAGTATCATGCGTAGGTCATCGCGAATAAGTATTTTAACTTTATGCCAGTCATCAAAAATTGAGGGTAATTGAAAATAATAAAAAAGGGTTGGCCAACTCCCTTACGAGTGTGTGCAAGTCGCTAGCTGGCCCTCATCGACTTTGGAATCAAATCAGACACTTATTAAAATAAATTTGCTTTTGAAACTTTCGTCGTGAACAAAAAGGCACCAAAAAAGTCGCCGTCCAAATCATAGCGTTTTCGCATCGTCAAGTTTTCAACCGTCCTTTTCCTGCCAAGCCCTATCGATGCAATTACAGGGTTCAATGCTTTGTTAGAACGAAAGATGGGAAGAATGGCGATCATATTTTAAAAAGTTTAAAGTGTCACCAAGATTAGTATACTCACTTATTCAACTTCTGAATGAAGTTTTTGTATGAACGGAAATTAAATTTTCTTGGATTAGCCTAGCCTAGCTGAAAGTTGTTTCAAAAGTACATAAAAACTGCTTTAGTGTGACTTTTATCAAGAATAGATGCTAAGAACGTCGACTGCGACAAACGACGTATCAGTGTTTTCAAACTTTGACGGATGTATGAGAAAAAGTATTCCAAAGCCATTGATTAAGACTTGTACTTCCACCTTGCAAAACACATTTACGACTTTCTCGGGTGTTCAAAGGTTATTTCATGCATTAACGAACGTTTCTTCGTCTAGTGTTGTTTTGTGTACATACTGTTACCTGACTTCCCATGTATAAAAAAGAAAAAATCGAACAGAATAAAGGATACTCCAGAAAGGTCGAAAAAAAAATTCCTTTGAAACTCTTTCACGTGCCTCAGTACTATGATAAGTTCCATACGAAACATAGTTTATTCGGAGCATCTTAACTTTGATTTTGCTCTTGTTTTCAACATTTTCCGGCAACCATCTTCAGCGGACAATTTCGAAAAATTTAAAAATCATTAAATCCTTTAAAGTGGAAGCAAGTGAAATTTAAGGGGTAGAACATTTTGTTATTCTGTTTCAGTTTAGTTCTCCACACGAGCTGCACGTGTCGTGCATCAACTTCTCGACAATTTGTGTTCGAACATAACATTGCCACAAACGTTAGCGAATACAGTTTAGATTGTGTGTTCGTAGGGTTCTCTAGCCTGCCTTATTTCATTTGTTTAAATTTTAACTATCAGTCACCGAAACTTTGTTGCCTGCAGCACTCTGAATTCCGGCCATTATGTCATTGTAACAAAAAAGACTAGCATAATAACACTGATGGGCGAAGCTGTTCCTGAACATTGGCCTTTGACTCATGATAATCGAATATTGAAGAACATATTTATCAAAACTCGAATTTTTTTCTTGTACAATTTTACGAAATAAAATTACTTAGTATTATTAACAAGTTTTAACAAAGGAGTTGTATTTTAATGGTAACACCAAAGAATTTGAACCACACGTTTGAAGTGTAAGTTAGAGTCAGACGAATGATTTCTCGATCACTTGATCTTTGAGTGAATGGTATTTGTCAAAGTGGGCCAATCGAGGCTGAAATCTGTTTAGGCAATAATATGATTCATCGATACTTGACCACGTTCATTGTACAGTATTGAAATGACAATGTTTCATATTGCAAGGCCGTTCGGTCGAAATGAAAAAAAAAAGCAGCACGAAAACACATCGGTTTCAGACCGCAACACTATCATAAATATTATCGTATAGCTTGTTTATAAAAAATAATCAATGCACAGCTTCTAACAACCTCTTTTCACCTCTCAGATGAAATCGAAGAAGATAAAGGAAAACAACATCCACAGCAGGACAAGTGCATAAAGGAAAAAAGCCTACAAAGAAAGCGACGAATTCGGAGCCATTTTACACAGCGTCAACTTCAATATCTGGAGAAAATATTTTCCCGCCAACAGTATCTGACACGTGACGAGAGAACCCTGTTGGCGAGGGGACTGGAAATGACTGAGCTTCAAATCAGAAACTGGTTTCAAAACAAAAGATATCAGAAAAAACATCGCGCAATTTCAAATGACACTAAAGCAGACAAAGAGGACCAACCAGAAAAACCGGATACTTCAGTGTGTGGAGAAGCCGATGTTTAATTTGTACCAGCAAGAAATTGAAAACATAATTATTTTATTTATAAATATAAAGAATTCTAAGAATTCAAGGTGTTACGCTTAAGGTAGAGCCATGTTATAGGGAAAAAGAAAAAGCGAGCAACTTAAATAAGAATAGGACTGTGCATGGCGATATTCGCCGATGGTGTGTCGGTTGCTATGGAACTATAAGCAATCCTATGGTCTGACCTTTGAAGCGAAGGAAAGAAAACGCTAAATAAGAGCATCAACATAAAAATAAAGCGATGTGTGTTGACTTAAAAAGAGAAAACTAAAAACAAAGAAACGTGGAAGAATTGAAAAATGAATTTTATTATATTTTCTAAGAGGTTAAAAGTAAACATCCAGAACGCGTGCAACTATACTTTGACCTCCTCAGTATTTTTCACCAACATTATTTATATTGTATTATTTATGGGGTATACATGATTTCAAACGAGATAATACAACGAAGTTAGCATATTTAACAATAGACGACATGATTGTACTTTAAAAGTGCTCTAGAAATATTGTTTTATATAGCTTACAAAGCGTTTCAGTGTATTGTTGTCTACATTATAACTGGCTGTTAACAGTGTTTTTAGGTTTTGGAAAAATAGAGCGAGGTGAAAAACAATCAGTGTTTCTCACGAGTTGTCTTCTTTCTTTTTGCTAAACTCGCACTGTCACCGAACATTGCTACTTGCAGGGATGAAGCTGAACCCAACGGAAGTATATTTTATCAATATATGATTTCCCAAGAGTGGCCTAAATTTGGCAAAGGTTACTTTTATTAGAACATCTAAACGACTGTTTAAAAGTGTTTTTGGTTGAGGACATGTATCAACAAACGAAGTGGACTAAGGCTTCTCAAACTCATGAATAATTCATAAAGAAAATCCAAAAGAAATTTAAAATGTTTGATGAGTGTTTGGAAATCAGATGAAAAACCTGGTCATTTTTGCATCCTTAATTTCTCCTTCTAAAATCATTCTGTTTGAGAAGTAATATCAAGCATTCGACACAGTGTTTCATCACCGGATGAATCATCTCGAAGTTCGTCAAAAATATTCCGCTGCCCTTGGTACTTTCAACTCTACTCTCAGTGTTTCATCTGGTGATGAAACACTGCGTCTCATGGTTGATATATTACTTGAATGACGTTTCCAAGCCAGTTTTCCTGTTATCTTAATTGGACAATGTCATGACTAAATTCTTGTTCAAAGACCATTTTGTGCATTATTTTACGCAGTCGCAGTTTACACAAAAACTCGGCAGAAATCTGGTGATATATATACTGCCCCTTAAAAAGAGCAACACAATAATACAGCTGATAATACAGTTACAGTAAACAAAATTATTTATAATGTCATTGATTTGAAATCATCGGCTCGCACTTTCTTATGCGTCTTTCTTAAAATGCCGGCTTAACCCACAAGTCACAGCATGGAAAAATATTCAACTACTGATCGTGTTCAAGATAATATACTACATCGTAGAGAAATAACGTTTTCGAAACAATCTCTTTAAACTAGGAATGTCCTCAAATCCCAACTCTTTCCTTGATTATATAAGACTAAACTGTATACGTTGTTCTGCTTTTGAAGTAACTGCAAAACATGAGGTTTGAAATGAGGACGGGAGCTAGGATGCCGCACCACAGAGCGAATGACAAGAAAGCATTTTCATTTTCTTCCATAGTACGACTCAAGTGCAAACTGAGTGTGCCCTTCAAATGAAAGCCATACTGAGCTCAAACAGTCCTTTAACTCCTGTTTTGCCAGGTCTGTGGAGGAAATCCAAGGATGTATTTCATGCCGCCGAGTATTACTGATGCTGTACTGGGTGGTTCTGACTTGGTTACACTTTCTAAAATGTGACCACTCAAATGAAAGCTACTGAGCAGTACTTTCCTGTGGTACTGTTTATTGAGCTGTGCAAGGTGATTCTAACTTTTGAGTCTGTGGATGAAATCCTAAAGTGTGACCATTCAAATGAAAGCTACTGAGCAGTACTTTCCTGTGTTAGTGTTTATTATGCTGTACAAGGTGGTTCTAACTTTTGAATCTGTGGATAAAATCCTGAAGTGTGAACGTTCAAATGAAAGCTCCTGAACAGTACTTTCCTGTGGCACTGTTTATCATACTGTACAAGGTGTTCCTAACTTTTGAGTCCGCGGATGAAATCCTGAAGTGTGACCATTCAAATGTTTCTAGTCTGTGGGTATGAAAACCGGTATGATCATTAATTATATGTAGCATATGACTGTTCAAAAGAGTTAAAGCTACCAAAGAGCGGTTTCTATCCGCCCTATCAATATTTTACAAAAATAAAACTTTCTTTGCAATTTTGAACTTGGCTCGGACCCAAGAAGTTAAATTCAGATGTTTAAGTACTTAGATGTACTTCAAGCTTCTACAGTGGGGCCAGGGTCAAAGCAATTCACTTACTCTACTGATATATTTGCCCATTTTTTGCCACTTTTTGCTGTCTTATCATCGTATACCATGCACTATTCAAATGAAACATCTTCATGTTCTTTCTGAATGGAGTTACAAAAACACAGACATATTAGGGCCGTTTAAACCAGGAAAAATAAAACGCGTCTTACGGCAGGACGCGTCCCAAATAAGACTCAAACTATCCAGTATAAACAGCACATTTCGTTCAAAATTTAGCTAAGGCGCGTCTCATCTAAGAACAGCCCCTAACACCTCTTCTTCGATAAGACGCGTCTTTGCTGAGTCGCATCTTAATGGGCCGTTTATACCGGAAAGTTTGCGTCTTATTTAGGACGCGTCTAATGAACGACGCGTCTTATTTTTCCTCGTATAAATGGCCCTCTTGTTTTGATTTATTTTCCAATTTTCCTCTTTAAACCCCACTAAGCCGGAGATTAAAAGAATGTTTATGACTGTCAATAAGTAGCAGCGGAATCAACTGAGTATGAAGAAACCTAAGCTGATATATGTAAACTGAACTTTTCAAATGGAAAACACTTGGGCTCTTACCTATACTGAGATCGATCTCAGTTTCATGAGGGGACCTCTATTTCAAGCAATTTCTTCATATCGGCAAAACATATATTGTATTTGACACTCAGAAGTGCCAATTTTTCTCTTAGGCAATAAGAAAAACAGTTGGCACATGCTATTTTTGTTAAGAGCTTTTGAGGAAAATGAGGAACGTTTAATCGGTAACTTATGCTCTCAGTCTTCCACTTAGAAGCCGTACCCGACAAAGAACTAGGTAATACTAATTAAAACCAATGAGTTATTTTGTTTTCCGTGATTAAAAGTCGGCAGATTTTTGTGGAGGTATTTTGCCTGATACTGAAAAGCATCCTTTTTTGAAGGTCACCCTAGGTTCACGCTGATGTTGGATTAAATAGCTAGGGTGTTTTTGAACTAACCTGGCGCCATCTCAAAGTATCACAAGATTACTAAAGCCCAGGTCTTAAACATTACATAATCGGACTGTGAAAATAAGAAGTCATTTTCTTAGATATAGCAAGATCGACAATAAGGTGACATTTCTCAAAACAAAAGACTACCAGAACAAAATCTCAGTGGTTGCTTCTCGTTTTGCTTCAAAATACAGGAGTTTCGTCATCTCGATTGTAAACTGTACATGTCAAGTGCTTTTCTCTCTAGTTTTAACGTTAATAAGACAATATCTACTGGGAACAATTCTAGACTAATCTAGGTTCACAATAGTTAGCGGTATTTCCATTAAGAACCGTTTATACCTTGCAAAATCGCTGAGTAACTGTTTAGGACTAAAAGGGGACCGGTGCGTATAAAGTAGAACGGCTGTTAAGCAGACTTGCTGCTGCTTCACCCAGTGTTTTTTCGAGTGCAGGGTTATGCGGAAAGGAAAAAAGAAGCCTGGTAAAGCGATAAAACCTCCTTTCTTCAGTATAAACTTCCTGTTGGTTTGTTACATATCAGCAGGTCCAAGAAAACCCAAAGAAATTAAATGTATTAGCCTTCACTGAACATGGACTCTTTCAGTACGTAAGTACTTATAGATATATAAAAAGCATCTTTAGTCTATTTCAAGCCTGTTTCCTGAGAGCTCTTAATGTACAGTCAAAACTGATTTCAAAGTACTCTCGTTCTAAATCTTTCTTTGTGGCATGTTAGTCGTAAAATTCTACTAGTTTTTCGCTTATGGTGCTGTTTCACTAATTGTAGCGGTGTATAAGATGATCGTGTAATGATCTGTAGACAACGAATCTCAAGTGCGTCACTCAAAATGAAAGCTATTGAGCAATAATTTCCTGTAGTACTTTCGTCAGTTCTAGTTAGGTGGTTCTAACTTCAATGAAATCTCACCTGACTGAGTCAGTTACGTTTTAAATAAATTAAAGCTTTAAAGCCGCCTTTTAACGATCGCGAGTCCGTTTTCTATGCTACTGATGTAAATGCCAACACGTGACTTCGGTACATGTTCGTTCCCTTCAGCTCGGCCAAGGAAAGCTGGGCTTACCAAGTTTCTCTAGTTACACGTTGAGAACGTTTCCGCTTTCATTCACTCTCTAAACCCAGCAACTGCACATATTCTTTGGAAAGCATCCCATCTCTGAAAATTATTTTTTTTACTTTCATTACGTGCAGCCTTTCTCTCATAATTAATCTAGGCTTTGTTTTCTCATTATTGGCTTGGTTAAAATTCCCCTCCGAGGAATTTTTCCGCTTTCACTACCGAAACATTTTCAAACCATAAATTGCATTTGTTTCCCCTCGAGCGATTAACCTTCATGGGAATTCAGGGAAATGCCGTGCAACTTCGTTGTTGAACGTGTGATCTACGAGGACTTCCTTCAACGAATTTTTACTCATCGTTCCTGGATAGTTATTTTTACGACTTCCCACATCCATGGATGGAATTCACGCTGGGCGAGACTCCGACCGCGGGTTTGTTCTCGAACAAAAGGTCGAGCTGAACCACAGAACATCCAACTGAATTATAATTTTAGAAAATCCTGCTTTTAATGAGGTTATTTTAATATTTTAAATATTTCTTAATATTGTTGTAACATTTTGCGTTCTTGAAAACTGTAAGGTTGCTTCAAAAACTTAGTAGACTGTGGCCGGGACTGTTTACATGTACATAGGAAGACCTTATTCAGAAGGGAAAAATAAGCAGGTTTAAATTTAAGTGCGAAATGCATTTAGCGCACAAATATTACTTTAAAGTGGACACTGCACGTCTCCCACTGTATGCGGGGTCGTCCATTCCACTGGCATCCGGGCTACGTGAAAGACTAGCGGTTTGATGGTAACTCAGTAGCAGTGTAGTCAGTCGATCGGTACCGAGCAAGTACTTTGACACTTTGACTTTTCAGGTTCATTCCGTTCCAGACGAAATTGGTCCTTTAATTTGTAGTCCTCATTTAAGTGGCGGCTGCTGGCAAACTTCAAGAATACTGATTACCTCCTTCGGACTTAAAGGGCCAGTTATTTAAACGTAGTTTATCCAGTGTTTAACAAAACCGCCATTTTTAGTTTGCCGAACGCTTTTAGATAAACACCATTTATCGTGAACAGTTTCATGAAAGCATACTGGCGTAGACTAGAAAAGAATTTGTCTTTTTGAAATAGCCTACTAAATAAAGAGATCTTGTGGTCCAAAGATTTCTGAAACCGCGTTCTAAGTTAGCGGGACTTCGTTTAAATAACTGTCCCGAAGAGTTTTGAAACAGCAATTAAACAGTCACGAACAGTATTGTCGGCAAAAGGATCGCCAGAATGAGCATGTTCTTATCTTATAACGTAATTGTTTGCCATTAAAGAGGCTTAAACCGTACCCGCCTTCTCGCCAGTGTCGTTATCCCTGGTTCAGGAATATCCCGAAATAAGGCTATTTACATGTGCTAAGATCTTACTGGCGTTGAGATGTTCCTCTGTGTATTTCGCCTAGAACGGATCCTTTCGCTTGTACCAACTATGCTGTACAACCCCTTTCATATCGAACTTAAATCACGACAAAACTATTATGACGTTAGGAATGATTCCGCCCACTAGATAAACTCCCCCTCCAAGTAAACAGCCTCAAAGAAAACAACTTTAAACTCTAAAAGCTTTTATGTTCATTTACCCTATAGTTAGCCAATTTTCTCTGTTACGAGTGAGCATTTTCTTTCCTTAAGTTCCTTGATCGTGTTTTAAGGTTGAAATGGTCATATTAAGACTTTCAATTTACGTAACCTAACTTAAACCTGCTTAAATTACTGGAGGGTGAATTTCTTTTATTTCGTAATGACTCTGTTTTTGATTTAATTTCCATGGCGTCTTAATAGTGTCGAACCGTGAATAAGCCTGTATTGATGTGAAACCGATCATACTTGATCAAAAATAAAAGAACAAATATTCCAAATGTAATTTTTAGAATACTTCGTAGGCGTTGAAATTCGTTTAAAAGAATTTCCCGCTGGGTAAATAAATATCAACTTTATATATTTACATTCCCTGCGAAATTGTCGAAATTTTCTGTTTATTGAAATAGTGATGACTAATAAGCCGTTATCCGAGAAAGTCCCGTCGCGCGACAAGTCGCTGCTACACGAGAGGTTAATGCTTCGAAGAAGCTGGTGCTCATTTCAAACAATGGAAATTTTTAAGCATAGTTCTAATAGGCAAACGGGATTATTAACAACTTATAAAGGTCAAAGGATAGATTATTATTTGATAACAGCATTAGTTAAGGCGGGAAGTTTTTAACATTGTCTATAGGAAATTGTAATCCATAAAAAAGATAAGGGATATTAAACATTCCGGGAATCCTTAGCCGGTGAATAATATCAATTTCTTGTCTATCTAGTCACGTGACATCTTCGAGCATAAAACTTTTGGAAATAAAAAAATTGAAATGAAATGTTTAATCCTGGAGAGATACAATTTCTTATCGCCACAACTTCATTTTTCTAAGAAACTGAAAGCACATTTTTGAACTTTTCTTTTGTGGTTTTTTGCCGTAGGCGTCTCGAAAGTGAAACTCGACATGGCGGAAAAAGGGAATTGTCCAAGACAAGGCAATATAGATTAAATTTTTATACCTAATACGTGACAAAGTGTCTCCAAAAGATATACCCTGTCTAGATCGCTTCATTCTCAATTGATTTATTGTTCGGTCAATTTAAACTTAATTCGTAATTTCCTTGTATAGAATTTTAATATTTTCGAATCAACAGCGATACAGATTATCTTTGTCAAAAGAATACGCAATATCGCGTTATTCCTTAAATAGCATGTACTTAAGTACGGCATCCGTTGATCACAAATGGGGCGGGGCGTACTCTCTACATCCTAAGACGGCACAAAAGACTCCTTGCAAACGTGTCCGCTCTCACTTCCAGCAGAGCTTGGATATTACAAGGTCACAAACTGTTCACGCAGAAATGAATATAACTCGTCAAAAGGTTGGTCTCTCCTTCTCCATAGAAAATATTTTGCGGGATGATTTTTGTCACTCGCGAAGAACAAACACTAATGTGGAATCGCGAGAAACGTATTTTGCGGCCGAATGTTGGCCGACCTCGCCGGCTTATACATGTTACGCTGTGCCATATGGCCCCATGTTTATGAAGTATCTACCAACAACAAACAGACTTAATGTTGGAGTAAGATTACATCGGGTGAACGGAGAAAACGACCATTTCCTGGCTGAACAAACAAAAATTATTGATGATGACTGTATAAGCTGCAAGAATGAAGAAACATACAGTGACAATCATGGTGAGTTTGTATATATATGTTTTAATTAAACTAAATAAAATTAATTCGTTTAAGAGCAAGAATAGGTTCAAAGCGTTTAAATAATGCAAAAAATTGCTTTCTGTTCTTACAAAGAAAAATTTCTTTACGTTTTCCAGGGACTACCGATAAAACGTGGTCAAACTATCTAAATTGATTCTATAGTAAGTAATTACCTCATCGATTTTTAATGGCGTTAAAAACCTTTTGTGATGCTTGTGTAGTTTCGCTTTCTATCTGGAAACACGACTCTGCTCTTCAAAAAGGTGCCTTTAATTTTGAAATTTTTAGTCCTCGTTTATAAGACTTTTTAATTTTCCTTTCTTAAATTTAGAGCATTTTCTAAAGCTGTGACATCAAACGAAACATCCGCCATGATGTTAACTTTTTTGATAATTCACGCATTTTTAAAATCTGGTGAGCCCGTAGACTTGAATGAAATATAAGTTTGATTCCGTCGATTTTCTCGCTGTCCGGCGCTTTTAGAGTTATATTGTTGCTCTCTTAAATCCAGGTGTACTTGACAAGAAGCTTTTATAGTACTATTTTTGTCGCTTTTTAATTGCCTATCCGTGGTTGAAAAAACGCTTCCGTTAATAGACTAAAATAAACATTTCATTTAAAATGCTTTGCACGTTCTAGCTTGTTCAGATCGACTACCGAGGAAGCGGACAAACAAAACTCAATATGATGATAAATTGGCGAAAAAAGGTTTATTATTGTTATCAAATAGTTGCTGTAAATTTCTTTAATTGCAAACAGAAATGCAATTGCTCAATTTTTGTATCCAATATTTGATATGATCAGTTTTGGAACATACTTGAATTCCGTGCACTCGGTTGTTTTGACATACACTGGGTGTGACAGATTTAACAAAACGGGCGACAATGGCGAGGTTTATCGTCCAATATCTCCAACACCTACCGTGACTTGACGCAAAAATAACCAGTATACCTATAGCCTAATATTGCTCTTATATATCATTGGTCACACTTTAGTAATTTTTCTGATTGTAGTCTGTCCGGATTCACGGATAGGCTGAACTTATAGCTAATTGACTGGCACCGAATTCCTAGTAAAAGAATTATCGGAAGCTTGCGGCTAAAAGCTTCAAGACGGCTTTGTTCAGCTATTGTTTAAGTGATGGGTGTGTAGTTGGCGTTTTCGCGGTTGTCGGAGAAAAAAATAGTATCCAGTTTTCATTAACTATATAGGCTCCTGGCAAGAAATGGTTAAGTGTTTGTTTGCTTGAATAGTGGCTTTTGAGAATTCATTCACAGTATTTTGTTCGTTTATGCTTTCTTTTAAAACAAAAACGACATACCATCGTAGTTTGTTACTGTAAATGCGCTCATGAGCGAGACAGATTACCAGTCGCTCAGTCCACTTGATCAAACGGCCGTTCTTAAGATAATTAGATCTCAGAGTTTTAAGAATTTTAAGAGAAAAAGGTCAAGCCGATTTATATTGAAAAGCTTCCGGAAAATCATATTATTCCCCTCACATCATCTCAAAGGTAGACTTGTTCTAAATTTAAATGGTATTCAGACTATAACGTATACAGAAAAACAGTGGTATTTTCCCATTGTCTACACGGGACAATGAATTCGTCGGTCACTACATCTAAAATGTATGTCACTTTTTGCCGGTCTCTTTTTGCCTCAAACATAACATGTGTTATCTCTCTTCATCCCAAACTTAATACTGAATGATAAGGTCTGATTGCAAGGAATGTAACTTCCTTTCTGCGTTTAGATTGTATGAGAGTGTTAAGTTCATTCTACGTTGACATGATCGAATCAACAGCGATATAGGTCTTGTGGGTGATTCTTTAACTGGTATCACTGATAACGAATCGAGTTTCGACGTGCGGATCACGAACGACACTATTTAAAATGAGTACGTTGTATTGACACACTCTACCCAAATCATCACGAGAAACAAAGGGGCTTCAGCAACAGAATATTAAAGTTTAATTTTGTAACTCCAATCTTAATTAAGGATTTCATCTTTACAGAGAAAATATCTTGGAACAGGGCAACACAAACACTAGAAGCCTTGAATGGTAGTCACAGTCTAAGCATTTAAACCACAGACTCTAGTGAAAGTTGGCAAAGGTCTTCAAGCCTGCTCCAGATTTTGCTACCACTAAGCTACTTCGATGATTAGACTCAGATTATATTAATAAGAATGGAAAGAACATTCACTTTTAAAGTAAAAAGTTTGCCGACTGGAGATAATCCTCATTAAACTCTTCTACTACCGTGAAATGTTACAAGTTAAAAGAAGCCACGAATGTTTTATCAGAGATGGTAAATGAACTTTGAAGTAACAAAAGCTAATAAACTTTCTTCTCTTTTTAATCTCCAGATAGTGGTAGCGACAAAGAATTAATACAGGAAAAGTCAGTAAAGTGTTTCAGCGAAAATGGGCCCAAGCGGAAAAGGAGAAATCGTAGCCATTTTACCCAGCGTCAACTTCAATATCTCGAGAAGATATTTTCCCGCCAACAGTATCTGACACGCGACGAGAGAACACTGTTGGCGAGGGGACTGGAAATGACGGAACTTCAGATTAGAAACTGGTTTCAAAACCGAAGATATCAAAGGCGACATCGTGCAAACGAAGACAATAAACAGCAAGAGCCCGATACGTCAGTGCCAATTTAAATTCCCTTACTAATGCGTCAAGAGACAAATTAAACAGCACTTTAAACAACGGAGGGACAATTACTGTTGTGCAATTGTCTGTAATAGCAATGCATATTCCATAAACACTTATTATAACAGTATCAAAGATACCTTTGTATATGTTGTACATAAATAACTCTATTTAGAGTTATGTTTTAAACATTCAGTCAAATCAGTGAAATTAGATGACAGATAACTATGTAAGGATTTCAGGGTAAAAATTTTGAATATTATCATATCATAATTTACTTTACTGTCTAGTCTATCAGTATTGGTTTTAACTGAATAAAATTAATTCAGGAAGATAACTTGTCGCTGCTATAATCAAAAACCCGAGGCGAAATATCCACGTTATGAACGGTAGCGCGGTAGTGATGCTTGAAATTAGACAAAACCTTCCTTCGACTGGCTAGCCTGCTTGAACAGCAGATGGTGGCGTTTTGTTTCACACTCCTTGAAGAGCCGAGCATACAACCACAAAAAATTATACGGCTGCGTTCGCAGGCTTTCTTTCAACCCATATAAAGTTCCCGACTACTGATTAGGCTGATTTAGCAACACAACGGCAACTTCAGTTGACGATGGCGCGCGCAAATCAAACAATTGGCTTGACCAATGGCTGTGCGGCAAATTGGGCACCCGAAGTCGAGTTTAGTCCTTTCCGCGCGCTTTCACGTCTTCAAATGACGTTCCCTTTCTGTTGCTAAACCAGCCTATTCTGACTTGAATCGCGCCGTTATACAGCTTCCGATTGGTATAACCATAGCAAAATGTTCCGTTCGAATTCTGATTTGTAGTTGAGTGTTCATTGTCTTTATCATCGATCAGCACTGAACTGAGACTAAAGCACAGTACTTTGAGGTAACTTCTGCTCAGTAGCATAAGGGGATTGCTCTCGAGGGGTCGCTCTTGTCGCGAGCTTTTATGTGAATAGCCCACTTGAATATACTCAATAGTTTATAGAACCACCTTGTACAGCATAATAAACAGTACCACAGGAATGTACCGCTCAGTAGCTTTCATTTGAAACGTCACACTTTAGAATTTCATCTACAGACTCGTACGTTAGCACCACCTTGTACAGCATAGTAAACAGTACCACAGGAAAGTACTGCTCAGTAGCTTTCATTTGAATGGTCACACTTTAGGATTTCATCCACAGACTCAAAAGTTAGAACCACCTTGTACAGCATAATAAACAGCACCACAGGAAATTACTGCTCAGTAGCTTTCATTTGAATGGTCACACTTTAGGATTTCATCCTCAGACTCAAAAGTTGGAACCACCTTGTACAGCATAATAAACAGTAACACAGGAAAGTACTACTCAGTAGCTTCCATTTGAACGGTGACACCGTTTAGGGTTTCTTAAAAGTTAGAACTACCTTGGTTAAACTGTTAACTGGGGTCTGTTGATACATCTTAGGACTGGACAATACAAAAGAGTTAGTTGTCTTCTGAGGGTGAAAAGTATCCAGTCGTGTCGAGTGCTACTTTGTGTTACCGTCTTGCATTGTCTTGTAGAATTAGGATAAAATAAACATTTCCTAGTATCAAACCTTCCAAGTTTTTATAGTGCTTTAAGGTTGTTTTAATTAAAACCAATAAAAAAATTCACGAGTTTGTCAATTAGAGGAATATGAGCTATCAGCATACACTTCTGAGGCTTAGGATGAATGCGCACGTAAAATAGAGGTTATAACCTTAAAACACTTTGTAAATGCCGCTAACATTATAAATGCTTAACAGAAATAAAGAAAAATGACAAGCTAGTACTTGAATATTACGTTAATTCCATCAACAGAGAAAAATCCTTGCAGTTAAACGTCTTGATTTAAGTGGGATAAACATATCGACATTGCTCAAGGGGTGATCTCATATCCCCACCGGAAACGCCCGTAATGTTAAGCCAAATATCCTCTTGAACACTAGGTAGAATAACTTTATACTCCAGTCATGAAAAAACTGAACACGCAAAAAATCAGGCAGCTTTTTTGGGGTGTTTGATTTTTGTTGTTAAGAAAAAAATACTTTTAACAATCCTTGATATCTGATGCCTTACTCTTAGATTACATCGTTCAGTCTGTACCGTGCTCACATCGCGTGCACTGAGGTTAGTCGCGTGCGAAAAGAAAATTGACGGAAAAATATCTCAGGACCCCATATATTGGAGCTGACGCTAGAAAAGAATATACAATCTATGTTACCTGGGAAACAATAGACTTTCTAAGCTATATCATTAACTTTTTTTAAAGTTCTTAAACAATATTTTGAGAAATATGTTATAACAAGTGACAAAAGAGTCTGGAAATGAAGCTCTGTTTCAGCATCTGTCAGTAGATCCCTCTAATGAGAAGCCAACAGAGAGAGAATACTACGTTGAAGTTGCCATTTAGTACGTCATAGAACAAAAACAAAATTCTGCTTACGTAGAATTTATCATCATTTGTATCAGAACTTTTTCGTTAGTAGTGAACTCTTTCAAAGTTTTTTTTTTTTACAATCTCAAGTCAAAGCATGAGTACGCAACGATGCCACGAGTGCACGTCGGAAATAAACTTTTCCACTTTGCCGTGAGTTCGTTCATAATATTCTTAGTGAAAAAGTATCTTATCTCAAGTCTTCAATATCTAAAAGGATTACTACTTTCATGTGATGACCCTCGAAGTCCTATTGTCGTCAACTCGTGAATTCTCAGACCATCCATTAATTTTTGTGATTTTTAATAACAAAACATCTGTCTTGGTAACTTTTTTCACTGAAAAAATAACGATGATCTTTGTTATTGGTGAGTATATGCTGAAATATTAAACATCCGTTTTTATCTTGCATTTTATGTCGTGCTAAATGCTACCATAAAACTGCAAAATTCCGAAGTAAACGATTATCGAGAACTTTAATTTTAATTCGTGTCCCTGCATTCCGAGTATAATTTCCTCCACTGATTTAAATTATCTTTTAAGACCGTCCAGCAAACATCAAAGCAAAGGTAGGCAAAGAGTTTAATTGCTCAGAATTGAATCCAATTAAGTTTGCGCTAATCCTGGCTTAGTCTTGGAAAATACTCCCCACCCTTTTACACTCAGAGCCACAATTGAATGTATGTCTTGACACTCTTCACTTAGGATTCATTGATGGCACTGCTTGCCGGATGCTTTCTGTGGATGGAGGTTTCAAGTCTGAGATTGAAATCGTATTGTCAGCAGTGACCTTTAGCTTCACATGATAGCTACTGAGCAGTTCTTTCCTGTGATATATTATTCTTTATGCGGTTTTACAAGGAAGTTCTAATTTTTAAGTTCGTGGTTAAAATCCAAAAGTGTAACCAACTAAACGGCTGAGCAGTAGTGCTCTCGATTTGTTACGCTGTAAATGATGATTCTCTGCCTAGCCGTAAGATCATAGAATGTGGCCACTCAAGTGAAAGCTACTGAGCAGTACTTTCCTGTGGTACTGTTTATTATGCTGCACAAGGAAGTCGTAACTTTTGAGTCTGTGCATGAAATCCTTACGTGCTACCATTCAAATGAAAGCTAAAGCGCATTACCTTCCTTCCTATTAATTTTAGCTTCAGTATTTTACAAAACAAAATAATTTGCCTTGTTACTTTGGAAACTATCCAGCTTGAAAGAGTTAAGTGTGTCCTTCAGTTTATTAGGAAAGACTGGTAGAGTTATCATGTAAAATAGCCTCGTATCACTCTAAGGCTTTAGCGGCATGTGCCCATTTCAATCAGATCCCGCCGCAGTGTCTGACACCCACTGTTATAGCCTCTTAAGTCAAGTATGTGCAATTCACCGGAATAGTTAAGCCAAGGGGTAAGAGCTAACTCATTTGTTGAGCCTTGAGTGTAATCATCTTTGACACTTAAGTTCCTTGAACTCACCGAATAGGAAAAACCAGTCACGTACGCTCATTGCAGTCTCTCTTTTGCATTTTCACACGAGCCCAGCGCTTTTGAGTCTTCAACAAAGAGTATGCCAGTTCAGTCAGATTTGAAGTTAGTCAGTTACCTGAAAGTAACGTTGAATGATATGAACAGTGTTCTAACGAGCAGTTGTTTTGAGGGTTTTAAGCCTCATTAATCAGGGGCACCCAACGTCAACTTTCGGGAAAATATCTGTTCGGAAGACGATTTGAGATCTAGAATTTTCGAAACACTGACATTTGTTGTAAAATTTCTTGCTTGGCTGCCCCTCCTAGGATTTTCGAACATCTACAAAATGGTATAATTGCCTATTTTAAAAGGATTTTACCCTAAAAAGGTCACCTAGAATTCTCGGGAGCCTTTTTTCTGGCTGAAATTTTCGAATGGGTAAATTTTGATCCCAATAATGTTCGGATCACTAGACTTTCAGCTAGGAAATCCGAACAGGTGAACAACTTTTAGGGGATAAAAATATAAATGCCTATATCTACCGTTTAAATACTAAAATACGTTTAACTATGCTATGTTTAAGTAGTTTTGAACTATATTCTCGTTGGGTGCCCCTGATTAATGCCCTATAGTTATAATCCTCGTTTGAATTTCGTGCGGAGCCTACAGTAAAGGGCGGCGCTGTGTCGACGGAGAGACCAATTTACACCTTCAAAAATTTGGTTAATCTGGTGTAACTCTTTGTAGTACTCGGCTTAACTTACGCGCTATTTAGTTGAGTATTTTTATGTTTAAACACAAGTCCTCATATTACGTACTATCACTGATTCATGATAGAAAAAGAGTTTTTTTATTCGACTGAATGACTACGTCGGTCCCTTCTGAAAACGAATTCGAACCTACAACAGTTCTCGACTATTACTTTTAATTTCTAAAAATTCAGAATAATCTTCAAACAGCCCTATATCTGTAACCATAGCCTTGTAAGCAAAGTGTATTAATAAATTTACTTGACTAGACTGAAACCCTGAAGCTGGCGGCTGGCATCGCTATAAGCTGAAATCCGGAACTAAGATAGGCTCAAACGTTTGTAACAAGAAGTTTAGCCAACGGGTTGCCAGCATGCTTTTTCTTTATGAGTGGTATTAAAGTAGGGATTTTGATTTCGAATTCTTGACTAGTCTCAGCTTTGTACTCGGAAAATTTAAGGGCCTGTTTACATGGAGGAGGGGGACCTCAGGTAGGTGAGGTAGCCCACCAAGGTGGGGTTACCCGCCTGTCCATATAATCTCTCATTTTAATTTGATCACGTTTACATGATGGTTTGGGTGACCTGCC